GTGTGTGCGTGTGTGTGTGTCCAGGCCAGGTGAAAGGATTCATCGTGCAGAGCCGTGGCAGCTAAGACAAGAGAACAGTGATGCGGTGTGGAATGAGCTGGCCTACTTGAAAAACCTCACCAGGAAACTCTCCACTGAAAAGTAAGTCACCTCTTGTCAAAATGTCCACGTACACACATAGACATTTGAATGAGCACACACACATTTGTTTTACTTTCTCTCTCTTACACGTTTACACGTATACTCACACACTCCCACTGTCCCTTCTTGTTTGTGGGTGTTAAAATTTGAGTGTGCCCTTCCCAACTTCACAGCATCCACCTAGCCCTCCACATCATTACCAGCCAGCAGGGGCCAAAGAAAGATCATTAGACTCTGTGCTCATTTGTAAAATTGGCTGCCCAAAAATTCACACATAAAAGTGCAGGAAGTAAAATCACATTATCAGAATCCCTGGCCGTGTCTTTGTGAAATAATTGCATTTTTAATGGAACGTTTATGCCAAACTGTAGTCTTGTTGCTGATGTTATTAAGTGTCAATAAGATACTTTACATACTTATAGTCTGTAAGCTGTGGTGGTGTTAGTAGCTCAAATGTTGACCCAGAGCTTTGTGACTGCAGGAGATGCTTTTCATTTATTTTTTTGCCATATTGCTTAGTTTTTCCACTTTCTTTCTGTCCTCCTGTCTGCATCTTTTAGTTTGTCTCTGGGTGTAGTATAGCCATTGTCTTGTTTGATCTAGAGAAACCCCTGTAACCGTACCACTAACACTGACCTACTATGATGCTACACAAAGCTTGGCCTAAAGCCACAGTCTTCCTCTCCCCTATCTCCCCTAGCCTTCACCTCTCCTCACCTCTTCCCTCCTCTATCCTATGCCTCTGTGCCGTCCTCTTCCCCTCTTCCTGCTTGTCTTCCCAGTTGCCTCCCTCCGGCCCTGTGTGATGCTGCAGTAGGCTGAGGCCAGAATTCTGGTACTTGCCCCCCACCCCCTCCGCTGCTTTCCCCTCTGCTCACCCCCCTGCCCTGTCCTCCTAATCCCAGCTGAGCTCATTATGATATAGCCCGGCTGCCTCTCTCCAAGCCTGAGCTGTCCGAGCTAATTACAGGCTAGCAGCCCCTGTGCCGCCGATACTGCCTGTTAAGGGATGTCCATCCGCCTGCCTGCCTGCCCGGCCACGGCTAGAGCTGAGCAGAGCGAAGCACTGGATGGTCTGGGGGCGGGGCGTGGGGGGGCTAGCATACTATAGTGAACATGCAGGGTCCTTGGAACTGACCTGTGAGGGAAACCACGAGGGATAGAGAGCGGCTGGCCTCTTTCCTAGCTGTGTAACTGGCCTGTCCTCCGGGGTTAGTGTTGATCCCCTTCATGTGCCCCTGACCAGCTCCACCTCATCTCCTCCATTTGCGCCCCCAGGACCCCTCCTTACCCGGGTGGCTGGTGCAAAGTTGGCTGGGATCTTTAAACTTGTGCTTTAGAAAAACTCTCCGTTCCAGGGCACACACACAAACGCACATACACGCACACACACAGCTCAGTGTGTTTAACTAAGCGAAAACATACTGTGCATCTCTATTCCACTCCTTACTTTCCTCCATACCTGTTGTTAAAATGAGCAGGAATGAGGTGACAGGGTTGTTGGGACTATGGATGAAGCCAGCGTAACCAAACAGCTTTAATTTCCTGCAATGCAAATTTCTGTTGAGAGGCAACAGAGAGGGCAAATGTGGGTACATGATAGTGCAACAACAACAAGAGTTCCTGTAAGCATAACTGCCAGGAAACTCATGGGGCAAGCAGTTACAGCTTGTTGTTCCGTTGACCGTATTATAATGATTGTGCTTGTGAAGGTTATGCTAGATAAGTGTTAGCAATGATCCACTAATGGCTAATTAACTCCTGGCAGCTTAAGAATTTAGGGCCAAATAAAGACCCCTTATAAAGCTTTAAATGCTTAGTGGCGGGCTTTAGAGGAGAGACTGTTTAAACTCCATTTGTCTATCATTTTCTCTTCCTCATTGTCATGATATTGTGCAGATGCTCCCTATCACCTCCTCCAAAAACAGCACTTGTAAAACAGTGTCTTGAGGCCCAAATGACCATTTCCCAGAATGAATATTGCTGGGATAACTCCTGCTCAGTGGGTCCCCATAGTGTTAAGAGAAGGTTATCAAGCCCAGGCCCCCTGTAATCTCTGCACTTGAATAAGGTGTTGAGGAAGAAGGTGAAACAGGTCTGTTTCTCTGCTCTTTCAGCTGATTTACTGGCTCCCTGTGGCTCAAATTAATGACCTGAGGATGCAATAAACAGCAAATGGTTTATTCTTTGGCAACTTTTACTTGAAAATTATAGCACGCACCTACAACATGAACTACTAGTTAGGAGGACAAACAATTTTTATGTGCTTTAGTACTCGTTATTTCCATTCTGTGAGCTTGCGTGACCTAGTACTTCACTACTGAGCTGACATGTCTACTTCATATTAACAGCACTTGATGCCTAACCTAATTTAGCGGGGCAGAAAAAGATAGCATCCTGAGACAGTTTCACATACTGTGAAGTTACAATAGACCACAGTGGTCAGTTCTGTGCTCTCAGGTTCATTGCTTGCCAGATTAATATTAATACTAGTTTTGGAGTTATTAGTAAAACCAAAACTATTGAAGAGGTTCACTTACCAAAAAAAAGCTTACTGGAAAAGTTTAAATCACACACACTTCTCTTTATGTTCTGCTACTTTAAAAGCTTCTTCTGAGCCTCAGTGGAAACGTCAACAGGAATTTATCCATGGCAAACTTTAACCACTTCAGAATTTAACATTGGTTTTCATGTATTGACGCTAGCCAAGCCAATTTGATTGACTTTCATTATTTATTCATCAAACATTTTAATTACAAAAAACACCTCACCTTTCTTTAATAATGCACTGACATGGTCCGACATAAAGACCCCTCTATGCTCTCAACATTTAACCAGTGTAGAAAATCTCTCAGATGTATACCAAAGTGTTTTTAAGGAAAAAGGAAAAGACAAATAAAACTAGTTGACACTTTGGATTATTTTTGATTGAGATTTCCTGGCAAGAAACCATGGGCAGGGTGGGCTAGAAAATTCGCTGTGGGATCATTTTATCTGCCTCATTATGCATCTGTCTGCGGCACTGCATGTCCATGCTTGTTAATTGTTGTTAAAGGTCTGTTGGTAAAAAGAGGCAGGGATTATTTAGGCCCCATAAACAGAATAAACACATGCAGTGCATCCTCAGACTTAAGATGCTATACTCAGACGACATCAAAGCATAAATTAGCTAGCGATTACTGGGGAAAAAGCCTTTGAGATCATTTGCTCTGCAGCAGCCGTGAAACCTCCTCTGTAGAGAGTGACCATTATGGACGTGAACCTCCCCAATAAGCGACGTTGACTCTAATTAAGTTTAATAAAGTTTACCCTGATGTTCCTCATATTCCTCTATTTCTTTTCGTTTCATCTTGATTTGCTAAAAGGTATTAGAAGTAATGAGAATCTTTTGCCCCCTGGACGAGGGCTTAGTTGGAGGAGGGACACATTTGCTCAAACACACACACAAACAGAATGTATTATTCATGTTTTTAAATCAGACAAGTAAGGTTTTTCCTTCATTAATTATTTGGTAAATTAATTATTGTTTAAAAAAAAATGCTTTACACTTAGTAATTATGATGCAAACTTCAGTGCGCCATCAAGTCTTAGTTGGTCTCATAACAAGATAAAATTAGAGCACAAAGAATTTGATTAGTTATGTCAAAGAACCAAACCTCACAAATACAATTCACATACAGAAAAAAATGTACATTTCCAATTCCATCCCATATTCATATAGTCATTGACTGCGGAACTGGTATTTAGTTGTGCAAATGTCTTTCCCTTCCTGTTTAATAAATACAACATTATAATATTGTTTTGTTTTATATTAGGTTACCTAGCGGCATCAACAAGCCTCTTAAACAGGGAATATTGTGGACATCCTAGGTTATTTCCACCAGTGATTATTGCATGAATTCCCATTTACCTCTCATATCAGTGGCCTGTGGCTAGAGAACCTAAGTCTTAAAGACTCACTGTTGCTGCTGCCGCTGCATCGCCCACAGCTACAGTACAGCACCGAGCCATGTAAACTCCACCAGTCACCATTTCTGCTGACAGCAGTGGCTTATACACCCAAACTCCCTCCATGAATGAACAGCCCTCTAGCCTGACTTTAACCATGAGGGAATCCCCCCCACACCCCCCAAAAACAAGATTCTTTCCCCAGCGATAAAAATGCCAGAGGTGTTTTCACTTTCTCACCCTATTCCCCGCTCTTCCTGTGTATTTTTATGTGCCGAGCAAGAAACCAAAAGGAGGCTGACATGTGAAAGCACAATAGCTGTAGATGATGTTGTGTTGTACACCCCTGTGGATGGAGGCTGGCAGTTTGTGCTCTAAGCTGTGTTAGGTTCAGCACAGGTAGGGATGAGATCAAATGACATGGAGTGGATAGCTCAAGGCTGAAGTTCTAGCGCTGCAAATGTTTTTAAAAATGGGGCCAAAAACGCGACGTGAGACACAGACTTACATCGCAGACCACATCATTACCAAACATAACATGTGTCTGTTGCCTTTACTTTGATTTCTGCCAAGAAACTTCTTTTGCTTTTATGCCTGCTGACTGTTATTCTACCTTAGGTGAAGCGGCAAGTTGAGAAGGAATTGAAAATTGTCCAGCTAGCTTCATTTGATTTGTCATCCAGATTTAAAAAAAAAAAAAAGACCAATGAAATACTCTATAGGAGATACAGCTGTAGAAAACCTTTTCTCCACTGAGATAGCTAGGATATGACAGGAAAATATGGTTTCATTTCACATAAATTGTAGGTTACTGGAGGTAGTCTGATGCAGGGAAAAGGTCTGGAATTTGTTCAGGTGGAGGTGGCGATAATGTGATGCAGATCTAAAACATAGCTCTTTGAGGTTGGGATTCATCTCGGTGCTACCACAGCCTTACAGTGTTGCCTAAACATCCTTTCGAATTCTCAAAGCTGCTCTTTTCCCATCATCAGGACCCCAATGGGCTGAAAATAGTAAGCATCTGTTTATCAAATGATGTACTCACGCAAGGAAGCAACGGGTAAGGAGTGAGACTGTAAGGGAAGATATGAGCATACACTATCCAAGGAAACAATTTTGTGCAGTCAAGAATGAAATCATATTTTCAAAATTTCTTTTAATGTGTTGCCTGAGGAAAAGAGGAAAGGCTGCACAGACTGTAGAAAGAGGTGTTTGTATTTAACGGTTAATTTAAATGGGAATTTTAAGTCATTGACCAAATTAACCAAAAGCACTGACAGATAGAGTAATTCCAAATGCCAGCTGTTGTTTTGACACAAAACAAAACTCCTGGCACTGTAACATTGTGACTCACATAATGTAACTTTACAAAATGAACACAAAAGTAACAAAATGGCGTAGCAGGCAGCACTAACAGAGGTCTAAAATACAATCTGGCCAGCAAGCAGGACACATTTGTTAAATGTATTAATTGTTTTAGTTTTGCATTTATTTTTACTTTCACCAAATTAGCTTTGGTAAAAGTTGAAGATAAGTCACCAAATTTCTATTATTGTACAAATAATACTTGTAACATCCCTACATGTAGCATTGTTAATCCTCTCTATGGCAGATAGAAGTGCACACTGCAACAACTGAGTGTTACTGAATAAGGATGCAATAGTCTTCCATCTCTAGGATGTTATGATGTGAAACTGGAGGCCCCTGGCCAATGAACTCCATCTGCAATCCAATCCCTTCCTCATCCAAGAAAGTATGCTTATCCTTCAACAAAATTGAATGTTTTGCATATGAACTTTGGTTTAGCGTCAATACTATCAGCATCCAAAAAGGCATAAAAGAGAAACATGAGATGGAACACATACTGCATATTTCAGCTCATTTGTCCCATTAACATCCTCGACACATAAGGCAGTGCCGGTGCCTCATCGACTTGAGTTCATTTATGGAGGAAAATCTATAGAGGAGCGACACATATCCATCTGCTTCCTCAACCCCCCTCAGGGAGAGTCATTTGTGTACTTATTTAAGCTGCGGTCAGCCATTAGGCCAGGCCTCTACCGGACCGTGTGGGCTAAAAAGCTAATTACTTCTCTTCCCTGTGCTGTGGCGATAACTTTTCCCAAGTCATTCTCTTGGCATATGTATGGAAAAATCTCTTGGTTGATCTAGCAAAATTAGACTGGTTGAAACAGGTGTCTAGTTTAAGTTAATTGCCATTATGCTCATCATAATTCACCATAACCACAAATGCCCTTTTAAACCTCATATGCTTCAGAGTGTATCACACATGCTGTACTCACCACATGCCTTAAGAAGTCAGTCAGAATGAAGACCTACTGTTGTAATGAGGTTAACTGAGGGAAGAATGCCACTACAGTAGCAGCAGCTTGTTTCTAGCGTTTCTCTCTGACTCTGTGGAGCAGAGGGGAGGGAAATTAGGTGTGTGTTTCAGGTGTGGTTGTCTCAGTGGGCTTGTGTGTATCCTCAGTAGACTTCAGTTGGGGTCCTAATAATAACTTGAAAGTGCAAAGTCTCGAGCATGGCTCCACATAATTAGCCTTTAGCAGAAATCAAGCTAATTGCACAGAGGTAATTGGGCACTCTTTCCAGTCTGTTTGTCTGTTATGATACACACACACACACACACACACACACACAGATGCACAATGTACTTTCCTACCTTGGCGTTTCATGTTGCTTGTCACTTTGATTTCCAGATGAATTAAAAACCATTTTAATTAGGTGATTTTTTCACCATGTCGTCTTTTCTTTTGGGAAGGGAAGCCAGTGCACAAGAATCAAGTTAAAATGTGTTGAGAAAAAAAAAAAAAGGTTTTTACAATAATGGATTCCACAGTGGAATTCAGAGTGATATTTGTGGAGACTTAAAAAGATACTCATTATACAATGCTTGTCTTGGTACTGATTTCATATTTCTTTTTGTTGTTCCATTCATATTTGAGGAAGAATAGATTTAACGTAAGAGCTGTGTGAAGTAAAGTTCATAATATGTGTGACTGCAGAGCCAGCTTGGAAGAGCAGCTGGACATGCTGCGAGTCCAGGCTGCTATGGACCGGGCCACGGTGAAGGAGCTTCACCTGTGTCTTGCTAATGAACACAAAGGTGAGCACTTTCATTAAAACCAAATGAACATGATTCTTTAAAATCCCTTTTTCTCATCGTCTTTCTGTTACTTTTTGCTTTTTTCCTTTCTGTTGCAGTGGAAATATTTTGCCTAAATTCAATTTTACACAATTATTCTCATGTTAATTTTTTTTTAATTCTACCCAAGGATTTTGCCACAGGCTTAAAGAACAAAGTTTAAAAAAAAACAAAAAAAAACTGGAAATATCACTTGTAATGGTGGAAAAGTATGCAAGCTTAACATGACAGCACCTTTAGCTATCCTTTTACCTCTTGGCCATGTGTATTAGTGAGCAGAATTAATAAGACAACTCCCTGTGGAATTAATAGGACAACTCAATTAAGACTTGATCAACTCCTTGCAAATTGATTGGGAGATCAAGACGTGTTCATCTTGTCTGCACATATCATTCCCAATGTTAAAAAGCACTTTGCTTTTAATCCAATCTGCATCCTTTTGTCAGACACTGACCACTGCTGCCGGTGGCCTTAATTAACCAGTTCAATAACAAATCTGTCCTAGATCACTTTAATTTTCTTCACAACCAATGATGGTGTCTGTTGGAGACACAAGCGTGTGATTTAAAGGATGGCACTAATTAAAATAGTGGATCCTCTCCTATTGACAGTCTAGTCAGGAACACTAAGAAATAAGCTCCTTCGAAAGGACATACTTACATCTTACTTTACATCTTATCAGACAAGTAATCACTAAATCTAAATGTTACACAGCAGCCTGAGTATCTGCTTTACATGTCATTTTCCACTTTCCATCAGGTAAAAATTCACTTTGCCTAGAGTTACAGAAATGAAAGCCTGCTGGTTTTAACATTCAACATTAAACATGTGACAATAATCCCAATGGAAACAATGACACAATGTGTGAGAAATACCACGGTTTTTGTTGTATTACATAAAACCTTTTTTTCATTCTGGTGAAGTTCTTTTTCTCACTGTGCATTATTTTGTTAATATCGCTGTTTCTTAAACAGTGTTTGACAATCATTTTTTAAAGGTAAAAACAAAGAGTTTGATACAAAATTTGTTTATTCAGTCATGGATGCACTTCCTATTTTATTTCTACTTTAGGTTCATATAGTTGTCAAAGTAGATAAATAAATTGTATATTGTTATGATTTGGGCAGAGAAAATCTAAACTTTGTAAATGAATAAATGCAGTCATTTTAGCAACATTTAGAATATTTACATCTGGACTGAAACCAATATGTTTGGTGTCAATAGGAAGTAAACTCATCATTATTAAGAAAGAAATTTGTGAATGGCCACAACATTTACTCCTGAAGAACCTCTGTGACCCGATCAAAGGGATGGAGGGTTGAATTGCTCACACCGGGATCACACTAACGAAAGGCAGCAGATGAAAGGAACAGGGCCTTTGTGCTGCAGCCCATGAGGAGTCATGGGAGGGACGTTAATGTATGCCGCAGTGCCAGGACCTCCTCCAACAGTGGGTGACTAGGGAGCCACCACGTCTTCTTATCAAGGTAGTGCTGAGGTGCCAACTCCCAAGCCACCGGCACTGGAGCTGGATAATTGTCTCCCAACCTGGTTATGTACCCAGCGAACACGGCAGCCCTCCTGTCCTATTTGGTGCTCTGTTTGATTGAATGTGACATGCTGGAAAGACAAAAGAGCCGGCTAATTCAAAGTAACAAACTTCCCTGGGCAAAGCGTCAAATGCAAAGCAAGGGAGCAGCGGCTCCTCACAACATAACCCCTCTCTCTTTTTACTCTCCTTCTATGGCCTCTTTTTCCAACTCACTCTCCAAAAGATCAACTGACCTGAAAAGTCAAGGTCCTGAATATTTAATGTTTCCAGCCTCATTGTACAAATTATTTTGGTCGTCCTGTCATGAATGTTTAACTGAAGAGAATGAAAGGCAAAAAGTTTTATATTATTTTGTGTTGCCCTTTGCATCTAGGTGAGCAGGGAAGATATTCCTCCTTCTGCAGGTATAGACTGTATGTCATATACTGTATGTCAGACAGTGACACTGAGGCCTGTTGGATTGTGTATGCGCCCATGAATATGTGTGCATCAAATCCCCAAACACTTTTCTTCCTGCATGCATTCCGTTGTTATCATAAATCTTAAATCATATGTTTGCCAAGGCCACTATTGAAGTTCTCAGAATAAAGCAGCATGTTAGTCTGTAGAGATTAGTTGTCCATTGGGGAAACATAGTGGACTACAAAGCAGTGCAGCCTGGGGCTGTGGGTTCACTAGGGATTCAAACACTTCTCTTCGTTTGTTTAAGATCTCTAGAGAGAGGTTGCACATTGCATGTCCCAGTGTGTGTGCTTTTGAACACTGTTTTCCTGTTTCCTCGTGGACTACTAAATAAAATACCTTTCTGTTAATTGGGAGGAAAAAGGCTATTGGATATGATTTTAGAAACAGGAGCTTGGTTTTTGCGGTGAAAATTTCAAGTTCCCATGAAAACAGCAATTGTGAGACTGTGTTCGGTTCCTTCTGATTTGATTGACAAAAGAAGAAAAAAGAAACTGGACCTTGGGAAGGAAATTAGACTTTAGTAATGCTAATTGATTTAATGTACCCTCTTTATTATCATTCTATTGATTGAACCGCCTGAGTTTGACACATCATGTCACAATAACGAGCTTTGTTCCCCTCTGCAGAATTGCTTCACAAAGTGGTGGAGGAGCACCAGGTCAAAAGCAGCACTCCAAAAAAGCCTTCTGTTTCTTCAGAGCAAATGGAACAGTCATTTAAAAAGGTACAGCACTATGCCATCACTAAGTGTTCTTTGTCATTGCCAATAAAAGAAACCAGCACAATGCCTCTCAGAGAATTTGGTTTTGCTCTATCAAGAATGATTTGAAAGTGTTCTCACTGTTGGTGGAATTGGTCATGCACACATTTCCAAGTCAAGTGTCAGCCAGGATGTAGTTTGTTTTTTTCTTACAGTTATAAACAATTCCAGGAATAACCACAAATAATAAATGTAGTGGTGGAGTAGAGTAAACTGTCTGTAAGTTATTCTAGAATTCAAATTTTTGGTTGCTCGTGTTTGTGCACGCATACTTTTAAAACCCCTGCTTGCATGAGTTTATATGCCCCCCACCCCCCCCCACCCTTCTACCTTCATGACAGTGAATCATCAAGAGTAGGGATAGCCATCTAATTTTGTTTGAAAGGTACCAGGCTTCACCAGCGGGCAGAGTGAGAGCCAAATAAAAGGGAAAAATTGCCTGGAGGCACAAACCCAGCAGGCATCCACTGTTCTCTTAAACAGTCTCAACCAAAGATCTAACAAATAGACTAAGTGCTCTTGGTTGCTGTGTAGTTAGGGGTGATCAGGGTAAGGGGGTGCCAGTGAGATGTCCATACTCTTGCCAGGCCATGGAGGGGAGTGTTGCTGCCCTCCTTGGTTCAACCAAACACACAGCATAAACTGTATGCACTGGCACACACATACCCATGAGAAAATGACAGTGGAGAGGGAAGCCAGTGTGCACATGCCACCACACGCAGGTCAAATCAAACACTGGCCTTTCTCATTGTATTGTTTGTTCAGGAGTTGGAGTATTTATGGTAAAAGATACAAATATGTGAAGGAAACAAACCTGACTATAGTGTACCACTGATTCTACCCCATATCTTTTGATTCTTTCAGATTGAGCAGCTGGAGTGGAGGATGATATCCCTGGAGGAGGAGAGAGAGAGACTAAGTGAAGAGAAAGAGCAGCTACTTGAAGACAACAAAGACTTGGCCCTCAACTGCCGCAAACTCCAAGCCTCCCTCGATCACCTGCGAACCCAGGAAGCTGTTCGTGAAGAGGCAGCCCAGGCCCTGGCCCAGGCCCAAGGGGAGCGTCATTGCAACAAGATCATGGCCCTAGAAGCCCGGGTTGCTGCTTCTCAGAAAGAGGCTACCAAGCTTCATCATCAGTTGCTGAAGCTGAGACAGGAGGTGGGGATTCTCAAAGCAGCCAGGGACTACTACAGGAACCATGCAGCAGGACCAGTGCGGGCAGGCGGGATCGGTAGCAAAATTAGCAGCAAGGTCAAATTCAAAACAACAAGACTCAGAGGTGCACTACGCCAGAGCAGCCACCGAACAGTCAGCCCCAATCAAGCCATCAGCTGGCAAGGCCGCAGCCCCAGTCCCACTAAGGACGAGTGGGAGGACATGAGCATAGACAGGTAATGATACACACGCACACACAGAAGCACTTATTCTCACTGCCTCTCGCCTCATTATTTTAGTGGTAGGAGTGGAGAGGGTGGGTTGGTTGAATTGTGGGGGGCCACGCTGCATCAAGGGGACAACGTGCATATGCAAAGCGTAAGCAAATGGGTGATTGAATTTCATCGTCTGTCTAGTTGGTATTCAGAAGCCAAAAGAAGAATGCGAGCAGGAATGATAGAGAGAAGGAGAGAGGAGGGGGAAACTACTGTCAGATCCTTCGAAATATCCTGGGACGCCTTGCTTGGAGCTTATTGACTGAAATTTGCATGCAAAATTAGCCACCTCTCCACACAAAGTTGAACCGATGCCAGAAAAGCCCAGGGATAAGGAGGCCGCCAAAGCCTTGATACCTTCCAGTGATGCCATTTTCATGCACTAGTCACGCTATCCCGAAATTGACAGTTTGGCAGTTTGATTTAATTTACTGGTCCTGTGCATATTCACTAACCCCCCCTTGACAGCGCTAAGGCTCCCCCTGCAAGTACCAAGCACCCCCCCTAGCCACCTTCTCCATCCATACACACACAACCACACAGAAGCTAACTCCACCCTGTGTTTAGTCATGTTGGTTATCTTGTGGCATGTCAATTCACAAATGTGTGTGTGCTACACTTATTTCCTCCAGCCAACCCCGTAACCTGCTCCCAACACACATATACATACACACACACACTTCCTTTACAGCTTACCCACCCTCCTCTCTCCTCTCCTCGCCTTAATTTAGTTAGATAAATTTTGAATGACCCTACTCGGCTCAGTACCAGATGTCTACAAGCTGTTTAACACCCTCTAAATTAAGAACCATCGACAGTAATTATTCCATGTATGTTTTATGCAAAAAAGCCACTGAGCCAACATTTATTGAGTGATGGTCGGAATGATTTGATTTCAAACACTCAGAGCTATCGCTGATATTTATTTTCCTTCACTTTCTCTCCCTGTATGCCTCTCTCTATCTGCTCTCTTTTGCTCTGTCCTACTAACTCGCCATCTCTTCACCAACTAATTCATCTGACTGTAATCCACCCCAGCTCTATCCACATGAGGCCGTTTAACAGGGACTGGGTGCAGCTATGCCCTGCTTTCCTAATGCCTCTCCATGTAGCTAATAAGCAGCAGTCTAATATACGCTTTACCTGAGAGGAGGATCTAAGTGGATTTGTGAAGAAGGGGTCTAAACTGAGATGTTGTCTTATTTAAGGCACCTGTCAACTGATTTGTTACTGTAAAGCCTTCTGCGTCTCTTATCTCGCAGGGGTCTTCTTCAGCAGTATGTCTGGTAGGCGCTCCTGGAAATACAGTATTTCTGCCTAAGGAGCTTTGGCCTTAATAGTGCCAAATAAAGATGTCAGACTCGTTAAGGCTACTGCCAAGTCTTTGTTTTTTTCCCCTTCTTTTTCCCGCTGCCTCTGGCTCGCTCTCTCAACTTTTGAGCTGCTGGAGGCAGCTGACCATTTTGAGCAGATCATCAGTTTTGTTTGTGAGCAGAACAGAATGAGGGCAGGGGGTATGGAGAATATCTTAGTGAATGGTCCTGTTATGTGTTTATATATTTCACATGCTCTTGATCACTGCTGGAAGACACTACATTACTTATGGATGGCAAATCACTGACAAGGAGAACATTTAACAATTAAAAGCTGATATTAAGTTTCTATGTAAGATGTAGGCACTACCACAAGCCACCAGAAAAGATAAAATGCCCTGCCTGGAACTGTATTGGAGGGATTCAAGGCGATTGTTCAAAAGATCATTTGGTGTTTTGATTGGGGGCTCTGTTCTCAGGAGTTACAATGGGTTGCCCATTTATCACAGGGTTGGTGGTTTGTTCCTTGGCTTCCACTGTTCTCATGTCCAATCACCCTTAACTTTTCACCAGTGGCCAAGCGTCTGCATTTCACCACTCATTTATTTAGGTTTTTCCTTCAGTTTGTGTCTTTACTTGACCTGCACAATTTAGCATCCAGCCGGTAAATGTACAAACCTGTGTTTATGTACTATATGGGTACACTACACAAACAGACACACAGGTATCCCCTGATGTATCACCATAACATGCCAGCACAGCATTCTTAACCATATTATAAATTGAAGCACATGCAGGAGACAACTTTGATAGTTTGTGGAAACAGTTACAGTAATTCTTGATGACTGATTGGACAGAGTATCATGTTGAGTGTAGTATTTGTCAGTTTGAATCTGCATATGATACAGTATATATTAAAATAAATAATAAGAGGAATTTATATTTGTATTCACAAGGCTGAATTTACGTCAGGCCTGCTCAGCTGTCTCACCATCAGGAACGAGGTAGCATTTTTCATCAAATGTAAGTAACCTTGGTCTTAGTGGTTGTGATTAGTGATCCTCAGAAAGTCCCTGTGCCCCCTTCCAGACCAGGTTTAACCCTAACTAGCCCCTAGTCTTGTCATATTCCAGTTAGATCCTCTCTCTGTGGTCTTTACCTCCGCTGATTCTCTCAGGCCCCACCTTAATAAACCCGCCAGCGTAAATGTCACTGGCTTCCACCTTCACATCAAAGGTCACTGTCAATAAACCTGTGTGTGTGAGCATGTGTGTGTATGTGTGTGTGTCTCAGGAAGCCCTTACCGTGTGTCCATCAGATGCAACTTTGCTTGGCTCCGCTCAGCCGTGCCTCTCACACACGTCTGTCACACACAGAGGGCTAATGAAGGCCACAGCCGCTCTCATACATGTTGATGCATTCACCATCAGCACCAGACACTGCAGCTTTTCACTTAATTTACACCCACATTTACACTTCCAGCTCAGAAATTGGATGGGACATTGATTTTCTGTTGGAAGAAGGGGGGGCAAAATGCACATATTTTTGCTTGATGTCAACTAAATCAACCATAAAAGGTAAATTGGATTTTTGTTCAAGGGTGGTACTCTCAGAACCCGTGTTGTGGGTTCAACTTCTGGCCTGTAATAACCCTCCTCACCTTTCTCTACAGTGACAGTGGTGAGGAGTACTCGGACAGTCTCAACAGTGTGCCCTCAGGGACAGCACCTTACAGACAACATGCTAACAGAAAGGTTGGTTTGCTCTAATCTCTGTTATATAAGCTTTATCAGCAAAGCATGAAAATTGAACTTCATCATCCTAAATTTCTAATTTGTTTTTTTTAATGGGTTACAATGTCATATTCAGCATATTTTGAGTAAAGTGCTCCATATGTATGAAGAAAGATGATCTGTTGAGGCAATATACAAAATTGCAAGCAGAATTTAACCAGAATTTATTGTAATTTAAGTCAGAAGATTCCTATGTGCTCAATTATGTACAGCTACATTACGCCAGCCGTAGAAACGGGTAAGATTAATACCATCCCAGTGACGCTGAAACTAAGTTCATGTAATGTTCTGTTGTACCTAATACAGTAATTTAATTTACACTTTGGTAAAATGTCCCGGTCTCTACAGGTTTATTCTGACAGGATTATTAATAGAGATGAAGGAAGAGGTTTTTGTATGTTTAAGTTTTGGAGAGGGAACAAAGTATGTTTTTGATAATGTAGAGTATGTGCTGTCATTCATGTTCTTCTGGACCACTGCAGCTGTACAGCTGGTACCTGATAAACAGATATGAGCTGACCACCCAATCAAATCTCTGCACGGTTTGACGTTTTTACTGGGGTTTATGTATATGTTAAGACCTGCAATGATTAGTTAATTAGGCAGCTATTTTGATAATCATTAATTGTTTAAGTTTCTTTTTTTAAACCAAAATTTGCTGGTTCGTGCTTAGTATACTGAACTTTTTTGGGTTTTCACTATTTTCTGACATTTTATGGACCAAACAATTTATCAATTAAACAATAAAATAACTGGCAGATTAGTTGATAATACAAATAGTCATTAATGTGAATTGTCTAGATGTGAGTCTAGATTATGAGTGTTTCTATAACAATTTGTTGCATGGCCACTCCCTTTACTCCTGCAGTCACAAAGGCTTTCTCATCTGTGGTTGTGGGTGCTCTTTCTTTTCCATCTTCTCTCCACACCATGAAATCAATAGGCCTGGACCCCTTACTCTTGTCCACATCAAACCACTCCACAGCAGGACATGGCAGCTCCAAACCCCAGAGAGATATGTCCGTCAAGAAGAGAGATGTAGAAAGGAAAGAGGGGGGCCTTTAAAGATATTCTGTCTTTTTCTCTTCTCCTCTCCTTCTCTTTTCAGAAGGAGGGGAGCAAGGTAGAAGGTGGAGAGAAAGAGAGGGTTGTTGTTGTAACTGTAACCAGGGAGCTGTCAGGACCCTTACTCTCAGATCCCCTCTAGTTTCCCCACTCCAGATCTGCTAAATGTGCCCATCAGCTCCTCTGGGCTCATCGCTATGACAGCCCCGGCCCCCTCACGACGTGCTATGTCACAAACCAAAGGGTTCATCTCCCTTCTCCTCTCTGCAAGGCACCGTGTGATCAAACCTGGCACTGATCAAATCCTACCTGACCCCCGTACAAAGGAAACAGGCAGAGAGGAAGGAGCGGTGTGGTGGTGGTGGGGGGGTTCTTCTTTGATGTCACTACAAACAATGTTGCTGTTGGGAGGTGTCACGCACAGGCACTTATGAGTGCAAATGACTATACACTCACACACACGTCACAGTGCAGGAGTGAATCAGAGCTTTCAGACAGTGATTGAACAAAGGCGGCATTTGCAAGCATCTGTCAGAAGTAATATCCTTACAGAGGAGCGTTCAATTTGAAGTCAGCTGTACACGCTCAGGTGAATTATTAAAGCACAGGGTGATTTGTCTTGTCGCGTTAAACTGAGCACACCCTGTGATCATAGTGTCATTATGAGCCGCATCTCAGGAAGCACAACATGTCAACCGGTTGTGTTACATTAAACAGCTGCTTTTCATCGCTGTCTCTGACTTTTCTGTTCTTTCAGTCCTACAGGTGTTCACTGATGTCAAACACAGAAGCGCCAGCAGCAGAATCTCACAAAAAACAACCCGATGTTCTGGCCCGAGGTAGGACAAGTTTTCCTTTTTCACACCGATGCAAAACTACAAAAATCTAATCGACTATTAAGTGAAGCAGGAAAAACACTCAATGTATGTACATGCTGTCGATCAGAAACAAGTACTAGGAAGTTAACAAGCTTTGTTTTTTGTTGTTTTTTTTTTGTTTTTTTCAAGAACTTGACACTCCTCAATTGGTTATAAATGGAAAATGTTAATCATTCAAGTTGTTAAATATATCACAGTTTTCACTTGTGCATACACAAAAAGACACTTTTACATCCGCCTTTTAAATCCCAGCTGTAGCTTCTAAATAGGGAATTGGAGTTTTTCTGTGCACTTGTCAACTCTGAGGCGCCTGCATATATACTTCCTCCTGTTAGACGATAAACAGCATGAGCCCTGGGACCAAGGGATGAGAGGAGAGAGAAGGAGGAGGAAGAGGATGCTGATGAGGACCCAGCACTGCTCCTCCTCTTCTCTGCAGCAGCGCATAGAGTCCCTACAGCGCCACATTGACATACTGCGAAGTGCCAGGAAAGATGCTGTGCTTTCAGCCAATGAGCTGCGAAGGGCCAATGAGAAGATCATGGCGCAGCTCAACTCCCTCACTGAGAAACTCTGCAGCAGCAAGCAGCTAACACAGGTAACTTGGGAAAAAAACAGGGAGATGAGTAAAGGAGAAAGCCAGTTGTAAGTGTTGGGAAGTTTCTTATTTGTCTATCTTTGTCTTTCTTTTTGTGGTTCTTTTGTATTTGCTCGGAGCTGAGAGTACAGCAGTACCAGGTCCTTTGCCCTTATCATGCTTAATAAGTGTGGCTGACAGCCTACCCTCGCCTGTGGAGGTCAGCACCACAGAGCAAAAGAGAGGAGGAGAATCTCTCTTTCTCTCTCTGACTCTGCTGTTGTCTTGTCCTGCTGAATGTTTTAGTAAGCCAGTTCTCCACAACAATCTGTGTCACTGGCAGTTGCATTTCTTCAAATACGTGCACTCGTGTGCACAGACAAATACAAGGTGACTGCGCCACACACCCATTGAGTTATTTAGTACCTGCCTCCAGGTACGAAACTCTAAAACTTGATATAGACTATAAATAAAACACCAAGCACTTTGCCCCCTAAACAGTATCTTTCCTGTCAGGGCCTCCTTGTACACACCGACATATGTACACACACACACACACACACACACACAGACACACACACACACACACACACAGACAGACACAGTTGTTAATCCGACGGGCAGGAGACTTCTTTTGGTGAATTCAGACATAGCAGCAGCCTGCAAAGGTGCACTGGACACCTGATTAGGTGTATGTTTGTGTATGTCTGTATATTTATTGTGTGGAATAGTACAGATACAGTATATTGCACTTGTACACGCAGGTCAGAGTGCAGCCCTCATAGTGTTGCTACCTAGGAAGTGGCCCTTGTGCTCCCACCCAGGCATCTGCTGGGGCCCAACGAGACCTTAGACTCAGACACCGCAGTAACGGCACATGTACACACACACACACACACACACACACACACACACACACACACACACACAACTCGCACTGTTGTGTGAATGAGTGGACAGAGAGGGAATTGTTGTCTTCCTGTTTGTTTCCTCCTTCTTTGTGCAGTATTAATGCCACTCCTCCAGAGAAAGTTGCAGCTGACTGATTGGCCAAAGCCAGGTCTTGCTGCCCTCTCTGGAAAGGGCAAGAGGTGATGGACTTTGGACTTGTTCCAGTCGGTCCTGGCCAACTCTCCAACTAAAACTCTCTGCTTGTAATTGGCTTAGGACAGCCTCCACAGGGGCCATCATGTGAGAAGTAGCATGGCAGTTTCACAGAAACTTGTTTGTGTTGCTCTGTCTCCTGATCCTTCGGCCATTCTGTCCTTCCCTTGCTGCTTCCGTCCTTGCCTCCTTCCATCATTAAGCCTTATTTCCTTATTCCTTCTTTTCTCCTTGCTTTCCTATGTGTGCCGTTTTATTCCCCTCCTCCCTGTGGTATTATAAGTATGAGTATGGATTGGATTGTATGAGTTTGTATTGTGAGCTTCTAAAAGTCTTAATAACTGCGCTAATAGCTGCTATTTGTACAATATTTTGCTGCTTTCAAATCTATACCATTAGAGAGGAATAGACCAGCAGTGGAGAGGTGTGATGTGCTTTGTCATGCTGCACTCAGCTCTCCATATCCCAGCCTAAGTGGAACATTTGTTTAACGGCATGGTGACAATTTCATCACTTAGTCACCAGCACCATGATGATGATCCCTCTTTGCACAGGAAAACTTTGTACCACCGAAACAGAAAGTCAGTCTGTGAACTGTGATGGATGTTTACAACATTCACCTTCACTTTCTCCGTCAGATAAGTTGTATGGAGGTTTGTTGAAAACCTGTCACATCATCTTACCACCTGTATTTCTTGCCCTGTCTGACTTGTTGCCATATCCCGAGATTTCAACAGTTCACTTTGAGATCTAAGAATATGGCAGCTATTCCTTGATCACCGAAATAATGTCCAGAAACTCCGAAAATGAGACATAATTTGTAATAAACCGGAATCATCCTTTAAGGTGTCATAAGAAGCTTAAAAAACTCAGGTGACAGATGAATCATTCCCGCCTAGTCCTTCCAAATCTAGCTCTTGACGCGTATCATCCAAATACTGGATCATTTGGTTACTAGGATTATCTACCTCACTGATTATCATTACTTCCCCACTTACTTCACTTTTCAGTGTACTGTGACATCGCCTCGCAAATTTACCAGCTTTATCTCTTTAAGTATGGAGTGTCCTGCCCTCCTCCAACATGTAAGGGGCTGGGATTATCACAGGATTAGGGAGTGCAACAGACACGACTGACTGAATTTAAAAAGCCCCCGACATTATTTACGTTTTAAAGATTGTGACAGCACATATCACATAAAAAGTCTGGCCAGGATGAATACAAAGTGGCTGAGTTGGTACAATAAGATGTTACACTAATGTTGCTGTGGTTTATTTATGTTGACAAATTCCCTTTGCTTTTCTAAATGGGCTGGCGTGTGCAGCTGTGTTTCCTTATTTATCCTAATGATCACTTGGAACAACATCAGTGAGACCACTATTCAGATGAGGGAGAGATGTGTCCACTCTTCCAGCCTAATGGACCACTAGTATATCAGTCCATGTCAGTGTCATCTCTCACCAGGGCTGAAAATGGCCTATGAAATCAAAGCCTGTCTTACAGGAAGTGTCATCAATGCCACTCTTAATTCGTGCACCACTGCCACTGCAGCCATAGTCCCACTTTTCATTCTCTACACCTCCCTCTCTCTCTATCACTCCTGCTCCTCTCTCTCCCCCTCTCTGGGGATATGGCATGTGCATCTTCAACAGAGCAGAGGAAACGTAAAACAAGAGGGATTCTATTAAAAGGTGTCAGCCAGCAACCAGATATCAATAACCTCCATGTATGCAGAGCAGAGAGCAAACCCCTGGGAATCTGCGGTTTCACTTGGGGGTGTGTGTGTGTGTGTGGCTGTGGGGCTGTGGCTATGGCTGTGCATGTGTTCCAGTATTTACCCCATCCATGTGTGCAGCATACATCTTCATGTATCATGTCTCCTATTTGTGCCATTAAGCATTCTTGACGTTTGATATGATACCAGATCATCTAATTGTGGCAGTATTGAACCAAACTTACAGAGATGTGTTTCTGCCCCATACTTTCTTAATAAGCAGGCAAAGAGCTTTTTTGAGCTCCACCACACGCATGTGGTTAAAAGTGTTCACCTCAGATGCTTATGTTTAGAATCATTGATACACTGCACATTGTACATGATCAGCTAGTGCCATTATCGTTCATCACTATAAACCCAACCACTCACCAAATGCTGAACTCCCTCTGTCCCAAAGTGCTCTCTGATTCTGCAGGATGGCTTTATTATGCATGCCAATCACTGTGAGAATTAGGCCCTATTGACCGGACAACAGCATCATCTTTTTCCTAATTAGCATAAGAAAGGAGTTTTTATCACAGACGAGATATTAAAGCTGAGCCTGTAGCTCTCCCGTGGCTTAAACATACACGATTTCTAACATATTGTGTTTACTTTGTGTCTGCATTTATCATATTCATGTAAATTGAATTTAAAATAAAGACTTGTGTAAGTCATATGATTTTTTTCTTATTACAACACTAATACAGTCTTGCATTGTAAAGCAGAGAAGGCAGGGTTTTGATTTGACTCAGTATAGCATGTTTCCCACTACTTTTTAATTCTCACCATAACTATAACACAAATATAGCTTTCCTAGGTTTGATAACAGTAGACAAACTTTTGTTTTTAGTTGTGCTATCATCAGCAGTAGCCTAGCCCCACTAACTCAAGTGTCTGTTGATCAATCTGCAGAAGCTGACCTCTGACCTGGCTGGTGTGGAGCAGCAGAAAAAGGTTCTCGAGATGGAGTTGGAGCAGTGGAGGCAGATCACATTCCCCCAGCAAACTGCACCACCACCACCAGCACCTGTAAACGCAGAGTGTTCCTGCCAGGGCAGAACCGTGCCCGCCCCAACTAACCCTGCCCACCAGGCTCTCGAGGCTGAGGTCAAACAACTTCAAGCCAGACTTAAGGTTAGTTGGTGTAAGTTACAAATATAACTCCAGCGTTAATGAATTTCCCTCATGCTTTGTCTTATTATGCACGCCTTATAAAGAGATAAGTCTCTTAATAGGATGATTGTATTAAATATTGTGTTCATTTTTGTGCACTATGAAGCTTGAATGGACAGAACAATGAATAATCATAGAAGAGTATTAATGCTATTTGGCTCAAAAAAATCTTTTATAGAGAAACACTAGTCATTTTTCTATGTACTGTGATACATGAAGCAAGTTTGTGTTCAAAAGCAAGAAAACCTAATTTGTGAATTTTGCACATTTTAGTTTGAATTTTCTTTTTGTTGCCATTTTGTTACTGACTATGCAGTACCGAACAGTATTGGATTACACATGCATTTATGTTTTTTAGTTAGAAAAAAAAACATTTCCCTGATATTTTTTCTAACATCAATATTTCTGAGTCACTTTAATATCTCACTGGTTTGAACACCCCGTAGTCCTTGAGGAGTTCAGAAACTCTGAAAGAAACTCTGTCAAGGTTTTACTTTCAAATCATGGTGGTTAAAAAAACACAGACTCTTGAGCCTTTCGATTTACACTTGACATCACCTGAAATTGCATGTGATTTCAACAAGAATTAGCATTTCTTATCATTTGATCTTATTATGGAGTACCTGTCAGAAAGACGAGAAATGAGGAATAACAGTAGAGACGTGCCCTACATCATAGGGAATAAGGTGTAAGTGGTACCACAGTATTATCACCCTCTCCACAGCCAGCTCATCAGTGTCACCAAGCAGATTGCTGCTGTCGTTACACACAGCCGCGGAAGTCATGTCAAGTGACACCAAAAGGGAGAGGCGAGGGATGCACCGTGGGGGTGCGCACACTGAGTGAGCGCATTGTCAAAGGCTCGTACTAGTGCAGTTCCCACAAGAGACACGTGGCTCTTTAAATCAAAGTGAACATGCACATTCAAATATCCATCAGTCTTATGATCAGAAGCCAACCTGTCATCGTGAGCCATATATCTCTGATACTCATAAAGAGTGTGTAGTTTACAAAAATCTCAGCAGTATCGCTAGTTTATATGCAATGAAAGCATTGTTAATGACTGACATATGTACAAAAATATTATTAATATTAACAAAATGTTTGCTGCTGGGTTTTTTTAAAATCTGTTAATAAGCATATTAGTCAGATCCCCATTAAAATATATTCAGTAGCACAGGGCTACAAATTGTTATTTTTCCTAATTACTCCCCTTATCTCATCCACTTTGAAAAATACAGTTTTCCTCTTAACCTCTTTTAGCACCTTCCACCCTCCCGCTGTAACTATAATGAGGAGGCATGCTGTGCCTGACCTGTCATCAGCCATGTCGTGAAAACCTTCCCCACCCCCCTATCGCACACACTCAAACACATTAACAAACACACACACGCCGTGTGCCCTCCCCCCAGAATGCAAGTGCGGAGGTCACAAGGCAGGTGGCAGCTAACAAAGCCCTGCGAGGCCAACTCCAGGAGAACGAAGACAAGCTCCGCCAGCTGCAGGACAAGTTAGTTTCACACCTTTCTCCTCATTACTATTACGTCTTTCTCTTTGTGTTCCTTTCTTCCTGATGCTCTGCAGTACAGCTCTTACTTTACCTTTTGTATTTTTGCATCCCTCTCTCTGTCTTTGTCTCTCCATCTCACTGTGTCTCTGTCTGCATGTTTGCACATTCTGTACAGCTCTCATCTGTAGTGTTTGATTCCACCATGTGGCAGCACTCTGTCTGCTGCACTCCACTTAATGCATGCTTCTCCTCTGCATGAATCATTTGTCAAATTATGCATGTTCTCATGAGCGAGTGTATAAAAATGACTGAAGGAATTAGTGTGTATGCACATGTGTGCATGTGGGTGTCTTGTGTGTCATGTAGTGTGGTGTTGCTTATGTGGGTAGCTGATGTGGACTGCTGATCAAAGCAGTGTATTGATTGTTTGTGTGCCGCAGGAGGGGCCATCTTGGCCCATGACACTAAAACCCACACAACATCGCTCTGGCCTGTGGGCCACAAGCCCTAATGAGTTACATGGTTCACCTACTGTAGCACTTGCTGCATTACACAGTCAGAATGTATAGCTATAAACAATTCACTCAGGGAAACTAAGGATGTGGAACAGTGTTGTGAAAGGCATATATCATCATTCTGCATTAGGAATCTCATCTTTGAACTGAGAGAAAGTACAATGAGCAGCTTGGCTTTCCTCCCTCTCGTTCTTTTTGTCTAGTATGCCGTGTCCTCTGCCTGCCATTCTCAATAATGCATCCAGGGCATGTGTACAATCACAGTGGGTATGTGACCAAAGCACAGCGGATCACAGCCAGACAGAGTGAACATCCCTTAGCTGAGTTTCCACGACAGCCTCAGCCTCTCTTCAGGCTCTTGTCACACACTCACTCACTCACTCACTCACTCACACACACAAACTCGCCATCTCTTCTAGCCTACCACTCCATTTGCCTCCATGGAGGGACCCCTTCTCAGAATGAAAGACATGTCTAGACGTCTCTGAAATATACATCTCAGCACACACACAGGGAGCAAGGCTGCTTCGCCTTAAAGAAGAGAAGGGGGAAAAAAAGAAATGAATTTCAAAGTACACCGGCATGTCCTCAGTCAATATCCGGCACTATGGCCCTGCCTTATTTATGAAGTTGCTTCTTTCATCTTTAGCCCTGTTGTCTATCAGCCACATGAAACGTCCACCCGCACTTCATTCTTAACAAGATACACAGAAATATGTGCTCTTGCGCTCTCTCACGCACACACTTCAGACCACTGACTGTTATCATTACAATACACGCATGTTTGATGAACAATATTGCCAACAAGCTCAGAACAAAGGGAACAAACGTGTGAGTGATCGGGATAGAGTTTGAATTCTTTCTCTCTTTCCGCTAACACTCATAAATAGAGATCACACGCTACAGCAGAAGCACCATATATCCTTCATTCTTTTTTATCCTCTATTCTTTTTGGGGTGCAGAAGGAGTGAACATCTAAAATAAATGTTGTCGATCTAATTGCCATTAGCACTGGGGCAGAGGGAGCTGCCGGGGCTCTTATTGCTGCTCTCCGTCTTTAAGTCAACACCAGACAGTCATCTGAAAGGTTCAATATGGGTTTTCTCATTAATGGCCAAATCCATGGGGTAACCAGCCAGCGCTACTTCCCCCCAAAGTCCCCAGGCTAGACTCCCCTCTCATTTAATTTAATGTCACTCCAATAGGACAAGCTCACATTTATTTAGCCAGTCTGCCCTTAGGCATTCATCCACCTAGGGAGACAGGGACATTTACTTACACGAAAGCATTTGCTCTAGTGTTGCATCATCTGTTTATTTAAAACACACAAGCTATGATGCATGTGGGAGATAAGAAATCCACTACATCTTTGAAATAAAAAATTAAAAAAACGGCAGAAACCATTTTAATTAACTGCATCCTTATGATCTTTATTCTATTTGTTCCAAGTCCCCAAGGTATAGACAACCATGAAAAATGCCTCATATTTGCCTTTTATGAAAACAGAATAAAACATGCTAACATACTGAGCCCATTTAAAAAAAGGCCTCACTATGATATAGTTCTACAGAATGCTGGAATATTAAACATGTCAATACAGCAGGTTATTGATATAGGAAGTGACATGTGCATGTTTGCAACAGTTAAGACATGAACAGTTTACAATACGACCTTGCCTCTTCAGGGAAGTGTGATCAGCACAGTACAGAACACAAACAAACAACACTTTTTAGAGCATATTCCCTCCATAATCAGTCTCTCCCAAGCCATGTTCCCCCGCTGATGTGTTTTTATATGACTGGTGCAACACTGAGCTGAAAATAACAAACATTTAAATACTTGATTGCAGTGTTTCAAGTAGTGTCACTGCTGATTCGAAATGTCGTTTGTCAAAAAGGACTCCCCAGTCACACTTAGTGCGGCATTCCCCGCCAGAGCACTTGTTCTAATATATGCCAGTTAGAATTATATATGCATCCTTATTTCACCCCCCCTCCACTTACCCAAACAGCATGCCAGTGTATTTAGTTGTCATAATGAGCTGTCATGCCTGATGCACTGCATGGGGACACTGTGCCTGCCAGCTTTGTGTGTGTGTGTGTGTGTGTGTGTGTGTGTGGGTGTGGGTGTGGGTGTGGGTGTTTGTGTCTGACTGTGTTTGTGTTTGTTCTGTTCTGTAGATGATGTATGTGATTTATGTCTGTGCACAAATATGAATTTCTGTGTAGAATTCATACTCATTTATGCTTTATACAATATTGATGTGTTTGCGTGTCTGAGATTCTTTTGTATGTTTTCAGGGCGAGTCACACAGAGCGAGATGTGAACATGAAAAGGCAGCTGGTGGAGGACCTGAAGACGAGGCTGAAGTTCCTGCAGGAGATGGAGAAAAGTTACAAAGGACAATTAGAGGAGCTAGAGAAGAAGGTACACACAATACATCACATCACAGCTGATGCCATCATCATAACGTCCCATTAATTTGATGCTCTTTGGTAGAATGACATAGAAAACTAGGTATTGTAGTGCTCAGCATTTCTCTTAGCCCAGAGATTGTGTCTTCTGGATGACTAAAGGAAATCCATTTGCAGTTATAGTTGTGTTTTTTATAGAATAGATAGGTGTTAACTTTGTTGATTTGAATGAAAATGAATACCCAGTGGGGTCTAAAATTCTGAGTCCACTTTCCCATTCAAGTAAATAAGTGAAGTCAGGGTTTTTTCCTGCATAGAGAATTGCGAGGCAGCCGCCTCCGTCAAATTTCGCCTACTTGTTTTCTCGTTACTCGGTGGATTTGACGTTTGTGACTGCAATTGCGGCTGTATGCCACTACGGCAATGTAGCGGCACTGTATCGTAATCCGTGCATTAGGCAGAGACGTCCGAAATTGCCAAAGAAGAAGAACACTTCCGCGCTGGATTTTCTGCCTGCAGAAGGAGGCAGCAACCTGATTTTGCTGCTATTCAAACAAGTGAATATTGTCTCTTTTACACCCGAGCACACCCAGCTTCTTGAAAAGTTTCCCTAAAATAATGTTACATCTCATCGTGTATGTTTTTTTTTTGTTTGTTTGTTTTTTTTGGTTTTTTTGCAGAAATGTCTCAAATCATAGATTATTTTAAAAAGAGTTTGCAAGGAGGGGAATCGCGAGGACAGGTGAAACAGTGCAGAGTGCAGACATCATTAGTTCTTCTAATATGGGAAAAAGAGTTAATTCATGTTACTGACAAGATACGGTTCATTTGTCAGGACTGAAAGTAGGCCTAGTTCTCAGCCAATCCTGGAAGTGTATAACTTAAGTGTCTCTATAGAAAAAAGAAGTGCAGTACCCCTTTGTTCTACTTTGTTTTTTACATTCTAGTTTTCTTTTGCTCTACCTCTTTCCAGGTGAAGACTTTATCAGAAGAGGCCTCCAACAGGAAGGCCTTCATTGAATCTCTAAAGAGAAGACTGAATGTTGCAACCACAGAGAAAAATCAGTATGAGGCCTCCTGTACAAAACTAAAAGAGGACCTGGAAAAAAAGGTTGGAGCCAAACTGCTGGTTCTTACTCAGATCATATAAGGAACATTTGAAATGTTGCATCACAACAGTGTTTTGGATAACTTTAGTAAGTTATTTTGTGCACTTTGCACAATGAAAGGCAAGTTTTGTTCAGTATCTGACCTTTATGATTATCTCCTTTCTACCTGTACACTGTCACAGTATACAGCACTTGTGGGCAAAATTTTTGGCATCATATCGGATTATATTGAACAGTATATCATTATTAGAAATAAAGGAAATATTTCAGGATTTGCGAAAGTGCTTCCATTCATGAATCTTTACACCCAAGCTGTGACATTTCAGTCCACTTTTTACATAATGAATACAGAATATTTCACCCCCTTTGACTTTTTAATGATTTGAACTTTGAATCACAGAGGATAAAATAAATTGGCACTCATCTACAGAAAGAGACTCAAATGTCAAAGTTAAACAAAGATTCAAAATTGTAAAACAATCAAATTTACTTTAAAAAAAAAAAGGTTCAAATCTCAGGTGGGATAAATACTTTTCATAGGCACCTGTATGTTAAGAATGCATTGTTTTTGTGATGATAGCACCCTTAAAATTATTCTAACAATCCTGGTGAAAATTGGTGCAGTCTCTGTGTGGCTTTCAGCTCATTTATTCTCAACCAGTAGGCGTCACCAAAATCAGAAAATTTCAAATTGTGCCAGTACTACAATTCATTCCCATGTCTTTGCAGATATTCTGTTTTTCCCAAAACAAATATATTTCGCTTTTAGCTGACCAGCTGCTATTTTTCTTTACAGGAACAGCGCATACATGCCCTACAGGCTCGTGTAGGAGCCAGTGAACAGGCTTTGGCTGCACTGGAACAGACAGCCACTGAGCAAATGGAGGGGTTGACCCAGCAGAGCTCCCATTCCTTGGACAGGCTTCAGAGACAGCTAGGCACAGCCTACTCCCAGCTGGAACAGCTTCATTCTTTCATCAAGGTAATGTATGAAAGGGGCAAGGGATTAAAGGCCAAGAGTCCAGAGTTTGACCAGTCAAATCATTTAAAGGTGTTATTTGTAAGTTTTCTATGCCGCCAAACATGGTTTCTTGCTGGGAGCAGGTTGTGGTGATTGCCACTTGACAAGAGCTTCGGCCATTGTTACATTAACAAGAAAAGAGGTTATAATACGCCCTCTGAGCTGCACTACATCTCCAGGGCAGATAAGAGGCCATAGTGAGTCGCTATTAGAAAGTGACACAACCGCCCTGGACTAGCTGGTTAGCATGTTCGTTTCAGTGGAATAAAATATGCAATAGAGACAAGAATTGATATTCATGTTGCTTTCCACCTCTGGAGAGAGCTCTTGCTGAGTAAAGGACTGAAGTTTGATACCGAGCTCGCAACATTTCTTGTAGGCCGGTAAGTAAAGAGCAGTTAATGCTTGCTATGTAGCAATAGCAAAACTTACAAATAGCTCCTATAAAGGGGACCTCCAGCTCTATATTTATAATGTGGGCCTCCATTGGGGTATCTTTGCATGATTCACAGTTCAGAAAGTCCTAACGGGCAATAATTGCTCAGGCCTCCTTAAGAGTCCTCCTTAAAAGCTCAGTTTCTTCTGATTAGCTGAACGTCCAGAATCCTGCCGAGGGGCAGCACACCAAGCGTTTGTGAGCTTCATCCTCCAAGGTGTGGAGATTGAGAAAACCGAGCTCTCAAGGAATTGTTTTTGGGTCCTGGTTTAAGTTCAGCCTGGGTCATTGATAGCATATGTGTACTGAGAGACAAGAAGGATTGCTGGGTCTGTTGATGCAGAAGTGAAAACTTGGGAGTTGCATGAATTTAGGAATGCCATGGAGAATACCTTTTAAATGGCCTTTTAGGATACTGTTGAACTTTCAGATAGGAGGGAGAGGTAGGGCTGACCTTGCTTACACTGTTCTTTTTGGGCACAAGTCAGTAGTCTGAAAGCTCTGCACTGACAAGTTGCAAGGGGTTAATGAGATTCACCCTTACATTGTTGTACCTCTTGGTGGCAATCCAACCTACATGTGTATTGTGGACCTGGAGGAGGCTTACCCATCTGTCCACGGTGTGTCTTCTGGGTGGTACTTGGAAAATTGGGATGTCAGTGTCATGACCATTTAACCGAAGTGGGCTGTGTCCATAGACTGTTCTGTTTGGTGACTCCAGGATTGCATCCCTGCTTTTTGCCAATGTTTGGCTTCATTAAACACTGACTTCCCATATGCACTGGGGTGGATTGCAGTCTAGGCATGATGTGAATCAGCACCTCTGATGCCATTGTTAGAAAATAAACAACTGAATTGGCAAGATGCCAACAATAAAGTGTTGTACCACACTGTTGTGGGGAGGAGGGAGCTGCATCTCAAGGCAAGGTTCTCAGTTTACCTGTCGTTTATCATTCCAGACCCTAACTATGGTGATGAGCCTAATGACCTAAAGATAAGCTGCTCATTTAATAACCACAAAGATGGTCAGAAGTAGTTCGGAGTGGAAGCAATGTTCTTTCACATTGAAAGGAACCAGTTTAGATGATTCAGGCATCTGATCAAGACATCTGCAGGATGCCTCCCTGATGTATTCTGGGCATGTCCAGCGAGGAGGACACCCAGATCCAGAACACACTTGAGGTGTTACACATGGCCTGGGCAAGCCTTAGGATCCCCCAGGAGCAGCTCGGGGGTGTAGCTAGGGGAAATGATGTCAGCACAACCCTGCTTAGCCTGCAGCCACCACAACCGGTTCTTCTATGAATTTCAGGTGGTGGTTGGATGTGTATATGTGCCATTATGCATGTGCACTTTGTTACAGTGTGTAAGGAGACACAGGCCATTACTGTGAGACTACTGTGTGCCCAGTGGGAATGGGCACCACTGCCTTTGTGTAGGCCCTAATCCATCACCTTGAGGTGTGTTTGTGTGTATGTGTCAGTCTATGTGTGTCTGGCAGAGACTGATAAAGACTGTCCATCAACTTTGTTCAGCTGACGCCTGTCTGTCAAAGCAGGAAAGGGCTTGGCAGAGATAGATAGTCGTAGCAGTATATTTGCACATAGACATCAATCAAGTGGCAGATTATGGAAACAGTTTAGTGGCCATTTCCCATTGTTTTGTCTTCACAAGCCAGACATATTAGAAGTTACTGCAACAATTCTTGTTCTTTTATGACTCACTTGCACCTGAGAAACATTTGAGGTGGATAGGATTTGTTTTTATCATCCACTTCCCTTTTCCAGCCTCTGATTTCTTTCACACAACCAAAGCTTTCATTTTCTTTTTTCTTCTCTGTTGTTTTTCTGCATACACACACACAAGCATTCATAAGGCAAGGAAGACACACATGCATGCAAATTTGTAACCTAAAATAGAAGCTGAATTACATGTGGAAACACACACGTGCATAGAAATACAGTTCACGCTCGTAGAACTCCTCTCCTACATTCCCATAACCCTAGGCTGGTGGGGCCATTGTGTTGTTGTTGAGGATTCACATCATTGTTTGTCTCCCCCTGGCTCCTGTGATCCCCTATAAGAACACCAAGCCCTTTGATTGGACTGCCTGACGTCCGGAGGAGATTTACTCTTGTCATGTATTGATCAGGACTGGAGGGCTGCGCATGTGTGTGTATAGATGTGTCTGTGTGTGTGTCTTTATGAGCTTGTTTTTTTTTTTAGTTCTTTGTGCCTGTATGTGCTGTGTGTGTGTATATGTGCGTGGTGATTTTTTTTTTTTATTGTGTGCCAGCAAACCCTTTTGGCCCCTGCACACGCCCCAGGCTGTAAGCACTGCTGTTGAACTGCTAAACAGTGGCCCTGCATGTAGTGACTACTCCACAGCACACATACAAACACACACACACACACACACACACACACACACACACACATATGCTGGTGGTAGTTCTCTAACACAGAATATTTTGGCTTGTCATCCCTGCTGAAAACTACAAGATTGTGTGGATTTATATATATAAATGTATGAGTATTTTTAATTACATGGACTAGGTGTGGGTCTCTTAATGATGGAATAATATTTTTATGTATGATTACTTCATATACTTTTCATATACCTGTAAAAGGTGCTTCCCTAATTCACCATCTCACTCAAATTTGGCTGAATGAACTTTTATTTTTTTACATCAGTGCCTGCATAATCTCACAAAATTGAAGTGTTTTTTCCTCCCGTTCTGCTCTTTATGTTTTTGAAAGGCCCTTTGTGTCCTCATGTGCATGGAGAGGTTCAGAGGTAGCTAGTTATTAAAGAGGATGTCTTTTAGCTGCTCATTTGATCCTCATCTCCATGCCCTAATCCTCGTCCTGTCTAAATTGGCCCTCTGGCTGTAGTGATTTTGGTACTAGCAAGGCTAAGAGCTCTTAACAAACACACAGACACATACACATTAACACACACAACACCTTCTGTGTATGCATTTGAATAGCTTGTGTGTTGTGTGTGTGTCTGTGGTTACAAACTCTCTCTCCCTCCCTCTTTTTGTCTCTCCCAGGGCTGAGAATGAGTGATAAATTCACCCCTTAATCTCTGTCTGGATTATTTCCACATGCAGGGTTTAGGTCAATTGAATGTAACCCTTGACTAGTGACAGTGAATATCTATTAGGCTGTAAATAAAAGAATAGGATATCCAACTGTTAGTTAATGAGCTGTGTATTCCTTAAGGGTAAACACAGCTCTCAGATCACCAAAAAGAGCTAAAGCTGCCTTCCTTTGACGATGGACGATGGTTATGATTTCTGCTCGTCGTCTTTAATCAGTGATATTCTGCTTATTTTACACCAAAGACCTAGTGCTAGTATTCCTGTTACCCAGAAGGAATCATTCAAAGCCAACTGGACCTGCTGATTTGGATGACTGTGAATTTTAACAGAGAAGTCACGGTGTTCTTGATTTATTGAGTTCAGTCTGCCATGAGCTGATTTATATATACCATTGTTTTACCTTTTCTATATACTGTTATTTTAATCTGAATGGGTTTTGTATAATCTGTTGTTTTTTTGAATGTCCCATTTGAATGTCTGAGTATGTGTATATTTATGTATATTCATTGCTAATAGACAAACTGCAACACTCCACTTACTGTAAGCTGCAGGCCTCCAACTACTCACTCAGCACTTTCCTGTGAGAACCACCACAGGTTTTCTGAAGTGCACCTGGTCCACCTGTGTGAAATTAAGAAGGGAGTGGAAATGTTTTTTGCTATTCAACATTGTTCATGTGTGATTACCCTTGTTACCGTAATGCACTTGAGTGTTTTCGTATGTTTGTACTTATGTTTGTGTATGTGCATGTACATTGTACTTCTTGCTTGCTTGGTTATACTGTGCAATATCCAAGAGCAAGTTGTAATTTTTTTTTTTTGTTGTTGTTGTTTTTGTGTACCGCAAGTTCTCCTGTCTCTACCTTTCCCTCCTCTCACCATCTATTCCAAGGTCAGCTTTTCAGCAGGCTTACAAGGGAATGATACAGAAGATTATTGCCTCGATCAATAAGCTCAAAATGAAGCAAAGGGGAGTTTACTTTATTGACTTTCTCGTGTACAGTGGCAGTTTTAACATTTAATTGTCTCTCTGTATTTAGAGCAAACTCCCATTTAGTGCCCGACAACTGTGCCATCCCAGGCCTTCCTCGTCTCACTTGCCATTCACTCGGGCACCATTTGAAACAGCCCCTCATAGCTTAATTATTAACAGTGTTATGCTGCCCTGTTGTACTGTGAGACATTCAGAAAGCAAATAAATAAATGAATGGCTGTATTTTCAGTAGCTCTCTGTCTTTCTCTCTCTGATGCATGATTCTCTGTCTGTGGAGATTTTAGCAAAACTTGGGGTGTGTTTGATATCAAAGCTGTGTTCCCTCAGCTTTCAATCGACAGGGCAACAAACCCTCAGGTCCATATTCCTACAAGGGAGCGTGAGGCGAAACCGAAGAGAATCTGAGTGTGTCAAACTCAATATTCCTCCATAATGTACTAGGCCTCTCTGGCGCATGCTTGATCAATTTCATTTATTCATCTGTCAGGCAGAGCTATCCCTCTTGTTTTTCCATATCCATTTCATCATCCTCTTCTTTTTTTATTCCTTCTCCTCCTCCTCCTTCAGGCCCTGGCCAGTGAAATACTTTTAGACGTTCAAGAGGTCAAGCAGCAGTTGATGAAGAGGAGGAGGTTGAGGCAGGCCAACGCTGTGGCAGTAAAGGGCGGCCTCTCAGCCAAGTCTATGATCAAAGCCAAGTCCATCGCTGCCTCCATCCTCAATATGTCAGAGAATGATCTTGCAGACATAATGGACACTGATCAGGTAAGGCCAAGGGACAGTGGGTCAACATGTTATACAAATGCTAACTTGAGGATCTATATCAAGTCTAGATTATGCCCACAGCACTCAACATACCTATAATAGATTTTCTGTACTGTAAAATTTTGAAGCATCCTGAAGTTTTCAGGGGGTTTTGCTTAGTGATTGCACCAGAGGACCTGGAAAGACATTATATCATCAACATTGATTTGTAGTTTTGGGTATCTTCTTTGTCAGTTGAGACTAAATGAGTGGCAAGGAGCTACAGTAACTTTGACCTAACCTCTGGGAACAGATGCGGTAGATTAGCATTGGTGGTGAGGAGAGGAAATAAGGGGAAGCAGAAGCCCTCTGTTCTTAGTTCATTTCACCTGTACCTAATGGTATCTAGCCTTGCTGAAAATCTCTGCTTCCGTCTGACCTTCTCTTATTGATGAGTAGATACATGTGGGCAAGTAAGCAAGGCTGAACACCAAGTAATGTTTTGTAAAGGTGAACCACACACCAAGGCATGTCCCTAATACATTGGGAAGTTGCAGTGCAACAGAGAAGAATGTGGCTTCATGTTTAAAGCTGGTGTTCTTGCTCTCAACAAGATCAAAAACCTGTCAACACCTGCAGCACCTGTCAACTTGTTATAAGATTTAATATGACACAAGTTGAGTAAGTACAACTCTTTTCTTACTGGTGAAAACAACCATTGAACTGAAAATTCTTGCTATTACTGTTATTTGCTTGCTCAAAGTCTGAGTTTCATGTTCTTTTCCAACTTGGTGGGACCATAGATCATACGCAGTCGTGTCATCAATTAGCAACTCCATGTTACAATCAACCTTCCATCCCTGGGGATTCCCACCCATCTATCACAAGATGAGAGACGGCGCACCAGGCACTTACTCACACTTGAAACCAATTTTAGACCTTTGCAGCCCAGCTCCACCCAGGAGATGACAGGGAACAGTTTCTCACTTGACGAAAAGTCCCCCTCATCAGAGCTGAAACCTCTTTGGGTAAAATCATTCTCCTCTCCACACCACGTGTTTTCTCTGTCCTTTTAATGGTGGTTAATGGCTGGTGTTTTTCCTGAATTGTAAATGTTGTCACAGAGAAGGGTTAACCATTTAGGCATGTGTTACTGAGTCAGAAATAGATCCCAGAACAAATGGCTTGTGTCTGTACGTGCATCTGTGTTTAGGTGACTGTCACAGAGAGACAAGGGCCATTTCACAGGTGCACCAATTGAAACTACTGCTGGACGCAGTCAGAGAGCCAAATCGTTATCTGTGCCTTTATGTAGATGTTAGTCAACTTGGGGTTGAAGGTAACTCAAAATCAAGTGCACCCTACTTAAACCTGCCCGATCTTAACTCTGCTTTAGCTGTAAAGATGAGACTAAACTCTAGTTGTAAGCACTTAGAATAGGAAATAGGTCTACACTACACAGCCATCCATAATTTGAAGTGATGCTGGTTTGTCGCACATTGTTGTGTGTCAACAATGTATTGAAAATGATTTTGAATCTTGTTACAGGCGTAGATACTTGTTTCAAAATTGTGATTTGTATTGAGTTTTCACACAATCTTTATAGAGATCGAGACTGTTGACATGACATGAGGTTATCAGGATGTCCCGGTAGTCTTAAACAAGTCCAACACATAGCAAGTGTATTCATTTATTCACTTGGTTGTGCGATACCACTGTGCTGAATGAGAGCACAGGGCTCACTGGGATTGCTTTTACTTTTCAGTTTTACTTTTAAATGAGAATGCTCCATTGCCAACATAGCTACTTTTCTTTAGTTTGGCAGATTTCTCTTGTCAACAATATTTGCAGAAGTTTTCAACATTGTAGGGCATTGGTACTTGGTTTGGAAATCAATGCATTTTTGAATTTCTGGCATATCAAAATGTTTAAATGAATTATTCCAGGTTGTGGTTATATTTTAGGAGGATTTTGGGAACAGATGACCTTCATGTCATTACCACAAACATCTCCTCCAAAGGCTACATATTTTGTTTCCTCCAGAGCATTAGTCTTGGTTTGCTGATTTGTAACTGATTTTTTTATTCATTTTATTTTTTTTGTATTTTTAATTTAATAATTTATTTTCAAGTTTTTAAAAATCACACACAAACTGACAGCTGGCCTTTTACACACTAACACATAAAAAACACACACTCAAAATCAATATTCTATACATGCATAGACGAAAAGACGACATTTAAATGTGCTCAAACATACCTACTCCACACATGCATCATGATGCTTTGCCTCTATCCATTCCATAGCGTGCAACTGAGGACCAGTGAGGGCTGAGCAGCTCCAGGCTCCCTGGGCAACTTGTTGTGAAGTTAATGATCCAGATGTAATAAGGCTATAATTGCCGGGCCAGTTTGTTTTGCACCTAATGTTAGATGGAGGGTCAGTACTTTGTTATATATCTACCAAGGGTGAACAAGCACACTGACTCTCATGCACATACACTCTTTCACACACTATGCTTACCCCAGCTGTGGGAGGCTTGAAGACGGAACTCACAAGATGGCTCTTCTCTCTCACTCTCTTTCTCCTTCTCACTAATGTATCCACACACTCCCTCCCACAAGTTACTAATTAGATATGTACTGAAATTAGGCTCGCCCTGGTCTTATCACCAGGATCACACATAGAGGGTTCGAGGGAGCTGGGGACCGCTTAGGTGAAACCCATACTTAATCTCAATGTCAATTCTCCAGGACTAGCACTCCTGCAGACTTTGGTCATGCATACTGCGACACGTACATACAGTATTATGTCTGTTGTGTCTCGCTGTTATCAGGTCAAGGTTAGAAGAATACTGGGCAGCAATGGTATAAAATGTACAACAAGATGGAACTTTAGACCTTATTCACTGACAGGGACAAGTGTCTTTCTGAATGCTTCTGAAAATTTGTCCAAAAGAAAGAGAATGGATTCTTACCAAAAATCAAGGCACACTACTTCGTGACAGTGCAAAAGTAAAAAGCCTTTATTATTATTGTGGCCACAAGACCAAGATGAGTCAGGCACAAATATGTACCAATTTTCTCATTTTCTTTTACAGTACTGAATTTTATTCACGTTGGGAATATAGTCAGCTGCTGCACAAGAAAAAAACCACAGACGTACAGATTGGTAATATGATGTTTGATATGTACGGTAATACTTCCCATGGCCTTCCTAAGCATTAACATTACTAATATTTTTCTCAGGAGGATTCTCAAAAACATAATTGATCAGATTTTTTCTTATTAGTCTCAAAACCATCATTTGTTTGTGTAACTCACATCCCTGTTGCTATGAATACTGGGTAATTTTCAGAGCACACGGGTGAAGTCAGCAGCTGAAACAGACTATCAAAGTTCACATAAAGTCTGTATGAGGCGCTACTCCACACTTCACAGGATTGTGTCTGTTAGGTCCGCCACTCTGCAAGTGCAGGGACTTTTAAATTCAGTGCACACACACACACACACACACACACTTTCCCCCCTCCTGCCCTCCCTGTGTCCCAGTGAGGCAGTGTAAGGGCCGTCACATCATTTCGAGCAGCAACACCTGGGGTTCGAAGTGAAGAGGTAGCACATTAGCACTGAGGTGTACATGGCCACGCACTCACTCTTCACCCTGTTCATTAGCAGTAACAAGGCTACCACTCTGTTAGGTCTTTATACATGAGTAGCATGAAAGCGTATACTGCCGTATCCTGCCACTGAGTCTCCAGAGAGCCTCTTCAAGGTCCTGGCTGGTGTGATGCTACAATTCTGCCCTCGAGCAGGAGACACACAGAGGCCAGTGCTAAGATACAGTGGCAGGTTCTCTCTACAAACACCAAGTATCAAGCACACATTGAGTCTGACTCAATTGATTTTTTTTTTTTTTTTTTTTTTTTTTTTTTTTTTTTTTTTACAAAATTCATCCATATACAAAACTCTAATATTTTAAGTGACATAAGTATTCTCTCTAAACATCAGTATGATGTCCATTATCATGTGTATTTTTCAGCCTACAACCTGTCAATACAATATATGTACATATTCACTGTTGTGTTTGCAGGGAACAGAGGCTCGTTCAGAGAGTCCAAGAGACCAGGAGTGGCTGGACCAGCTAAACCACATCCTGCAGCAAAAGGTAAAACTCACCCGTCTGCAATAACATTACTGATTCCTGCACACTCTCAGTAATGAGAAGTCTTGTGCAAACTACTAGAAACCGCCCTTCAGGGTAAAATGATTTATCAGCCTGGTGTTGCTCTTAATTGAGGTTAGATTAGTAGAAGAAGTGTTGTCTGGAGTGTCAGAAGGTAACAGAGAACTGTTGAGAGAAGTGGTACTCTCTCAAAACTAAGTAATCCTCAAAAAAATGTGCTGGTTTTAATTACAAGTACTCTGTAATCTGTATTGCATTACAGGTTATTACACCACCACTTTGAAACTACAAGCAGTGGCATTGAGAGAGCCAACTGTGCAGTCTAATATAAGATACAACACTGCTTGACTTATTTCATCACAAAGAAAATGATACACTTTTCCAACAGGAGGAAGTTTGTTTTCTTAAACTGCACATTATTTTGTTGAATGGATTTTTCTTGTTTTACAAGCAGCTAGATGTTTACATTTACTTATTAATAAGTTGTAATTTGATTAATATTGCCAAATGAATTTTGCCAAATGTTTTTACAGAGCAATACCTTAAAATGTCAAGTTTCAGTTCCATTTTAGGATTGAATAATAATATTACTCAGCCTGTCTAAGTAAAAATAATGAAAATTCATAGGTGTTTTAGACATGATTTTCAAGCTTGATATCTAGGTGTTTGTATTTCCATATTGGTTGGGCATTTTATAGCAAATTGTAGATATGCTGGATACTAGTTTCACCCAAATTCAGTAAATGGAGGATGAATTTAAGTTCCCACCCAAATATGTCCTGCTTCAGGCTCTGAAACAATGATGCAAAAGATAAAACAAAGAAAAGCAACTACATCCTCATTGTGTGTGTGTGTGAGTCTTTGTGTGCACAGCCACTCATCTGTGAGTGCTCTGCTGGAGCTTTACTCGAGTGCTGTCAACGTCTGCTCGCTGTGATATGTGTATGATTGAGAGTGTCGAGTGTGTGTATGTGTGTCTTGTCTGTGTTCTTGTCAGCGGCTGCCGCAGGCACTCATGCGTCGCCTCCGCACCACGACACACACCAGACACTGTTCTCTTGTTCCCCAGATCTTCTTCTGACCTTTCCACCTTCCTCTCCCCCTCCCACACTAACACACACACACACACACACACACACACACACACACCACTCTACTGAATCCATGTTTTTCCCTTCTAGCTGGACAGCTCTCAGTCCCTGTTCTCTGTCTCTCTCTGCCATCCTCCACTGTCCCGCATTCCTCCCTCCCTCTCTCTCTCTCCCTCTCTCTCTCTCTCTCTCTCTCTCTCTCTCTCTCTCTCTCTCTCTCTCTGGCTCAGACCCCGAGGCAGCTTGTTAGTGGGGAACTAAATATTGATTTGGCGGGCCTGTCGATGCCGGGAGAATGAGCTAGTGTCCACCAGAGACCTCGGCACCGGCAGCTTGCTATCGACGTTTTCCGTGGGCAGAACAGGGGTGGTGGAGGAGGGGGGGGGCGCTGGAGCTGGTGTGGGGAGTGGAGGAGGAGAAGAGCGGAGTATGACAAGGCTGAGACTCGCCCCCAGGTCCCTGTGGGGACCGGTGGGACCACCGCAGTCATCCCCCCTCACTGAAACAGACTTTTTCTATCCCCTTTCAAGTCCATCTTGTTCTGTTTTTTTGTTTATTTATTTATTTATAATTTCTTCCTCTCCTCTCTATCTCACAGTTTCCCTTTCACTGTCTGGGATTTTAAAAGCGTACTTTCGTATCAAGGGGACACCAGTCTCTGTCTCCTCCTGTCTCTTTCGTATTTGTGTCTTTTTTCCAAAGGGCTAATGTTACATCCATGCCCAGACACCAGAGAAAGGCCAAACAAAGACACTTTAGCACCTAAATATTGGTCAGTTTAGATGGATCTGCTATGATAATGTGCCTGTACTACACATGTCTGCTGATGCCGAGAAGCCAGCTTTTCCTTACTGAGGGAATACACTTCTAAAACTCTCAAACTGTACCCCCTTGATTTCTCTACTTTCTGTCATAGCTTATGAAAGGCTCACCAAGCAGAACATCTGTGAAGTGGAATGGCCTGGCCTGTCACCCTGCCTGTGACACTAATAACACACTCCCCTAATGGTGATATGATCTTACCCCCGAGCTGCACTCACACACACTTCTTTGGATAAAAAGACACAGACAGAAATAGACCCAGTGAAAGGAAAGATGAGAGAGAGATCCATGTCCTTAACTGGCTGGCTGTCACTGAAAGAGGATGAGGATGTGTCCATCTTTGTGTGTGTGTGTGTGTGTGTGCGGGTATGTGTGGGTATGTGTACATATTCGTGTGTGCGTGTGCACACTCACGACAGCCTCATCTTGTCACTGTCAGTGCCTAATGGAGCTGCCAGTGGGACAGCACTTTATTATCTCAGTGGCCCTGTCAATAGCAAACCCATCACTCACTCTGTGTTGTGTCTCCGTGTGTGTGTGCGTGTGTGCATTTGTGAAAGACCAGATGAGTGGTATGTGTGTATCTGTGTCTCTGTGTGTGGGCTATTGTTCGCCATCACTGTCATGCACTGCCACATGTCAACATAACAAGAAAGAGAGACATCCGCAACACATTGACAAATGTTGTGGAGACATGTGACTGTGTATGTGTTGACTTACTGCTCCCTTCATGCCAAGGAAGTGGCATAGATTTCTGGAGCCCCCTCTCCGCTGCCCCACATGTCCACTCAAAACCAAATGAAACATTGCATTCATTTCCTCGTCTCTCACCTCCACTGGTGAGTTAATGAAATCAAACCCTATGCCTCTCAGTAGAGAGCCACCATAAGCGGCGCTCCATAGCCAGGATCGAGGGACGGTGCTATCTAATAATCATGAGCAGGCCAGGGGGTGCACTGTATGGCTCCACAGCAACCCACCATGAATAAGGCCAGCATTGAAGATGGAGTGTCCATGTGGGCTGTGGGGTCCAGGCACCGACCCGGGGAAGCATTGATTTAATTGCCTTTGGTTTATTTGTGGAGTCCTAATTATTGACTGGAGGTAGAATTTAATGGGCCAAGTCTTTATGAAGACAGGGAAATGACTGGCTTCTGCTGCTGGCCAATAATGAACAGGAGGAGCATGTGCATGCAAGCGTGTGCACATGCACGCAAGCACACACATTCCCTCCAGATCATTTTTCAGACTCATTTTGTACACACATATACCCATCTCAAGCCTCATGACAGCATAATAACGTTTAAAAAGTCATTGACTCTGTTGATTTCTTTATGAGAGGACAGTGGTTTGGTTTACTGGTATGGGGTGGCGCTGAGGGCCCGCTAATATTTACCTCACAATCACACCCAGGGGAGACGTACAAGCATCACTTCTTATCAGCCTCCAAACTATAACAAGCAGGTTAACATTACATTAAGACAGTAGTAGAGACAGGCTGGACCAATCTGGACTGGACATGTTATAAAACAACAAAAGCGTTTATGGATGGACTACAGGGCTGAAATGAATCTTGTAATTTCAAACCTTTATCGAACTTTGGGGAGAGGTTGCTGTAGCTCATTGCTCCAACAGTAAATGGCATCATTTTTATGACGTTAAATAACTATCTATTTGTGTCACTTTTTGTCAAAGCTTCTCACTATATCGGCACTTCATAGGGCATTACATCATTAACCCTCAGTATTAAACATATCAAAGGCTCCGTGCCTTACTAATGTACAGAGAAAGTTTTCTATTGTTATCGGTGCTGTGAGGGTGAGGGTAGAGTCTTGTGTTGTGTGGCTCATTATGCCTCTGTAATGACAAGGAACAGCTCTGAGTCCCACACTTCTCTCTGAAGGAAAGTGACTCTAATTAAGCCTCATTTAATGATTGAACTAATTAAATCAGCCACTCTTTTTTTGTCTCTGTAAGTGTGTTTGTATGTGTGTGGAGGGGACTCGAGCTGAGCCTTTGTACTGTAAATATGACACTGGAGCAGTGGAGGGAGGTTCCCTGGAGGAGACTGGTGTTAAAGTTGTTGATGCCATTGCACAATGTGACTTATTCAGTGTGTTCGACTTGTAATTCACATGAATACAAACAGCAGATGTAGCTTATTGGTGCTGTTCCTTTGACATTAAAGGGTTGGGGTCATTACTTAACCTGGCAAGCTACAGTATAGCAAATAGCATGTTTAGATTGCTTGGAGTAGGCAGGTGAATAATATTATTGTTCTTGAGGTATGGAACTTAAAGGTTACCGCCAGTCTGATTGCACCCAAGGGCCGTCCTTTGGAGCACAGTGGACTCCAAAAATTAAAATTAACACAGAAAGAGAGTTAATAATCAAAGTGGACATTTCCTCACTGAATAAATGGCTAGATGTGTTACATTCCCTTATGTCTCTGAACAAACATTGAAAGGCAATCTTTTTTCTTTTTTTCTTTTTTTTTTACCACTATCCTGTTTTGTATGTGAAAGTTTGCTCAATGCACAGCCACTTTTTTAGATTGTCACTACTTCCCAGTGCATTACCTTGGCCAATGAGCCATAATCACGGGTGTGTTCTTGATTGCTGGATTCTACCTAAAGGTTGCATCTCTTTTGTATGGATATCACCTTTCTATATTTAAACCCCAGTCGTGCCTGAATCACCTCATTTTCACACTTAATGAGTAGGAACCTGAAACAAAGACCCGGTGCTTTCCTGTGTTTAATCTAGGGTGTATTTAGGTCAGATCCCTAACAAATGCATGTTGCGCACTGAAATGATGTTTCCAAACAACGTATCAAGAAAAGGAGAGATTTTTAATTACAGTATTTGTGGCCCCAAGTGTCCAATTCCCTTTCATATCAGTCTCTAGTGGCCTAAAGGGGAGAAAAGAGAGGGATCTGTTCCGCTGCAGGGGTAGGTAATTACGAAGGAGAGGGAGAGAATAGGCTTGTCGGTGCTTTAGTGATTTTCTTACCTGAGCCCCTTTTTGCAAATGTGACATATTCATTATCGGAGATAATCAAATGCAAGACTTCTTAGTATGGTGCCTTTGTGCTTGGGCTTTTTTTTTTTTTTTAAATCTATTTATCATGTTGTTGTTGTTGTTGTTGTTATTCCCCCGTTTGATAAATTTGATTTTCAAACAAAAGTGAGAAGATCAAAGATCAAAGAGCTGTTTTTTCCCCTCTGTGATAAAACTACTGTAACTACTTCTCCCTTACCTTGAATAGTGGCCTAGATTGGAGACAGCTCACCAGCCAGGGACAAAGATTTCTAACAGGAATCCTTCACCTCTCTGGAAAAACCCATGTCATTCCAGTCAAATGTCACCATACTTTTTTTAGAGTTATTATGAAATTAAGCTGTAGTGTACATCTTTGTTTATTACTGTACAAATATACTGTATATTAGTTATGATGTTGTTACAGGTATACAGGTATATACTCCTGTAGGACTTTTGAAGGGCCCAAAAGTCACGTCAACCGTAGAATATTGGAGTTAAATTAAGCAGCAACATCTACTGAATTATATATGGCTATTACAGTTATATATTATAATTATATTATATTGATAAGGTGGTAAACTGGTGAATGACTGAGAAAAAAACACTCAGTTGTTATTTGCTGAGCAAAAGCAGAAATTTGAATGATGTACACCCTTATATCTCTTTTAGGCTCCCTGATTCCCCCTCCCTCCTCATTCTTACTCATTTAGATATCCAGCAGCCTGACACAATCTCTACAGCTACTCACAAACTGGGCCCTTGGAAATAATTGCGCTAACCCGTTCCAAGGGAGAAGACAAAAGAGCTGGAATGATCGATCTTTTAAGGAAAAAAAAGTTGGTGTGTGTAATGCCACTACCAGACAATGGTCACTGGAGTGCTGCAGCTTTGAGCTGCTCCTTGCCTTAAGGTGTGCCCCAGGCTATAGAGTAGCAATGTCATTTAATTGGCTCATAAAAACACCTTTTGCTTGCAGCTCCTGTCCTTGTCTTTTCACACACATGCACGCACACACACCCCACCCACACACACACACACACACACACACACACACACACACACACACACACATATGTGTGTATATATATATATATATATATATATATACGCACAGGCACACACTGTCAGTGTCAGTGGCTTAACACGTCCATTCACTTCTGAAACATGTTCATGAGATCATACCTAAACAAAAGGTCTGTTCTTTAGGGCCTTTTGAATAGTAATGGATGTGAGTTAGCATGGCTTAATGCTACAGTAGCTATTTCATTGTTGCCAAAGGGGACAGGACCTCTTGCAAAACAGTGGTTGTGTTGCTTAGCGCTGGTGCTGGCTCGATCTGCCAAAGGGGACAGGGGCCCAGCTAAATCAACTGTAGCATAACATTACTGCCAGTTCCTAACACTGCCTTAAGCAGCCCAGGGGATCCAGTAGAGCAGCTGCATCACAGCTTACCTCCAACCACCCTGCAGGGTATCGGTCCCCAGCAAATGTGGCAGTTAGATGAAAGGGAATGATAGTCCTGCTTGTCCCATTTGTGAGCCTGAGTGTGAATACGATGTGAGTCTCAAACCTCAGGGAGACAAATCAGAACAAGAGGTATTTTATTTTAATGCAATAGAATCATTTTTTAACCAAGAGACTAGAAAGGTGTCTCACTGTACTTGGTGACATGCATCAACTATAAAAAACAAACCAAATCATTATAAAGATATTGATGCTATCATACCTGTGCTCAGGACTGACCATAAACTGCAACATACCCAGTTCAAGTATAGGGACTATAGGGACTTTTGTTGCATATCCTTCTCTCATTTCCTGTCATCTCTCCACTGTCTGTGATAAAGACTTAAAATCCTCCAAAAAGTACTTGTAAAAAATGAAGAAATTGAAAGTAGAAGTTGGGTTTCTTTTGTAGTTTTAAAATGTTTTAGGCTTAAATCGTATTCATGTTGGATTTATCTAGATCATGTTTACCTGTTAGTGTTGTTTACCCATATTCCCATATCTGTACTTTTAATGATCCAGTCCAGTCTCCCACTTTGCTGTCCCATAGAGCCTTGTGTTGTGGCTGTGTCTCTATTTTAGTGGGGGTTGTTTGCATAGTTAGTGGCTCTAAGCGCAATTAGCTGATCAGGAAATTGTGTGTGTGTGTGTGTGTGCCTGTGTGCGTGTGTGTGTGTGTGTGTAAAACAGATAGAGTGAGTTTTCCCTGGAGGCCAGAGGCAGAGGGAGATATCTCAGCAGTTACTTCAATGTAGTGGTTCTCTGAGGAATAGTGCTGTGTGTTTGATGCATCCAGTGCTGCTGGAACTGACTCCCCACTGTACAGCACACGCTCAAGTGTGCACACACACACACTTTCACACACACTTCCCAGCACACAAGGCCTTGTGTTCCCAGCTCCTGTTACCTTTAATGAAGAAGACAGAGGTGTCAAGGGGCAGGGGGACTGTGTGTGTTTTTGTGCATGTGAGTTTCTGAGGCACTCACTCTCCAGATGTATTGGAAATTGATAAGATGATGGTTTCAAATCACATCATAGTGCTTTTCTGTGTCCTTAAAACATGTCAGCTACAGACCTAATTCCAATATGTGTTGCGAGTTTGTGTTAATCACTTCAAAGCAACACGATACCTCGTATTCCCTCCTGGAGATGTTATACAGTAAAGTTTGTTGCAGCACTTCAGGCTTGTGTCAGCTTGTTTCTGTCTGTATGCTTCAGTAGTTTATGTTTTCACATTCTCTTTTAAGAGATGAAAAGTGAAACATTTTATAATATTGAAGTCACTATTTTAAGTTCGGCCTGTCCACTTCTCATCTCAGGCCATGTGACTTGGGAAATTGCTCAGGGAATTAATTTGAATCCCTTGCTTGAAAAAAAAAAACGCCGCTTATAAAAGGCACATAACTTGAAGTGAATATTTATGGGTGATACAGTACGAATGTCTACCTTTGATCAGGCGCCCTAATGACCATAAAATCCTTGTGTCGATTCAGAAGAAAAACACAATTAGCCCAAAGACTGAGGAGAGTCCTACCCACCACTTTATTTTCACCTTTCCAGCACTTGCACAACAAAAATTAAGAAAACACACATAGAAATTTCTGCATACTCAACCTTTGTAATCCTGTATGATTTAGTGCACATCAGTTCTCATCCTCTTCCCTTCCCAGGACAGATACAGTCCAGTAAAAACACAACAATGCTATAAATGTCCCCAGTGATGCATAGGCTGTTTTAATTATGCTTCAGGGCATGTCTGCTGAAAAGTGATCAACTTAAGCTTCTAGGGAAAGTGTAGTTTGTCTTCAGCCCCACCGAAACAAGGCAATGGTTTCCGTTATGCTCTACTTAAACGGCAGCGTCACATTTTTTCAGTTTGCCGTAAAATATTTCCCACAACCCATATGTATCGTGTTTAGTTGCTGTAATCATTCCTCTTGTCCACATTGGCCATGAGGTGATCCCTTACTGACGTGATTCCAATGAAAGATGAGATACAAAATCCACAGTCCATTTTCAATGCAAAAATACAGTTAGTAAGTTAGCCACGTTTTTGTTTATTATTCTGTGTATGCGTAAATGTACTTGGCCAATAGATCTGATTCAAAATACCTACTGTGTACGTATAAAACGTTGACTTGATGAGCTGCAGTGGAGGGATGGTAACAGAGGGCTGAACCCCCTCGATAAATCTGACTGAAACTACTAATGCCTCATATTAACTTTGGCTGAACCTAAGAATGAGGACTGTGACTTTTGTCCCCCATCTCTTATCTTAGAGCTACTTTAGGAAGGGATCCCTTCACTGCCAGTATGGACAAGAACTGCTTAAATGTACATATTGTATAGGCATGTGAATGGTGCTTTAAGACAGACTTGAAAGAAATGTGAGCCTTTCTTTTAATACTTAAGAATCATGGATTATCACTGATTGAGAATGGACACTCAGAAAAAAAGGAGTGTGAAATGAAATGCTGAAACTACTGCTGTGCTGCCTGTTTTATGAATTGCTTTGTCAAAACACTCCATGTGAATGGTCCCTCAAAAGTTTCACAAGTCCGCAGGCCCCATGTGAGGTTCTCTAGTTTCACAAGACAACAAATAGACTTTCTGAAAAGTTGCCAGGTGTCAAAATCTGGCTTTTTTTAATAGTGGTGTATTTGTGTGTTTTCCTCATTTTCTCTAACCCCTTTCTACCACTGCCCCCACACCCTTTTTCTATCCTTCCCCTCCCCTGCAGATCCCCTCTGCCGGCCAGCTAATGGAGGCTGTGCGCGTGAAGATGAAGGAGAGGAAAGTGCTGACAGAAGAGCTGGCCACGCTCGCAACACCAGTCAGCGAAAAAGCCTGACTCCCTGGGCTGAGGCTGGGAAAACTGTCATCCTCTTCTTTTTCTCCCTCCCTTCTTCTCTCCCTCACCGGCTCCTACTCAGTGGGAGCTGGGCTGAGCCAAGCTGAGCCGGGGCAGCAGAACCAATATTTGTGAGAAAAGCGCTGTCGACTCACTCTGGGCCACTGGCGCAACACAGCAGCCCGGCTTTTGTAAATGAGCCCTCGACATCTGTGTTAGCGCTCGGTGCACTATGTCTATCAGACAGGGCCCTTTAGCGCCAAGCTAATTTACAGTGCAGCCACTCTCCCCCACTCTCAACGCAGACCTGGGGTGATAAGGCAAATGCTTACGCTAATGTTTAAGTTGGACTTTTTTTTTACTCTATTTTACCTCTCCCCCTAATTTATTTGGCACCTCACAGACCTAAGGGTGCAGGGACTTGACCTAACAATGCCAAGTCGACACTTTGAGAAAGTCTAGAGTGCAGCACAGATCAGAGTATTCACTGTTAGATCCATTTATCAGACCCGATTTCTCTGCCCTAGAACCCTATCCAATGATTGGAGCTCAGTATTTATTTCTGAAGTAAATTAACTTTATTTGAGATGCTTAAAATAATACAAATTGTTAAAGCTCCTACTGTTTAAGTATTTGTTCTGCTGATATTTTAATAGGCAATTATGCTAAATATCAATCATTTTCTTGTAGAAACCCTCTTCTTAATTTCTAAATAAAAATGAATTTCTCATATTTTTGTCCACATTTTCTTCTTCAAAGACGGCATTTATTGTTACGAATTTCATGGTCTTGTTTCCTGTCTAAATGCTCTCTTGTATTTTGTTCGTTCCAGCAGTTCAAAGGACTGTTAGTCAGTGTGTGATGGTGACTGAGGATGCTCTGGTGAACAGCAGGGTTCTCACACCTCTCTCATGATTGGCAGCTGACTGTTGGCATGGTTCCTGTCTGTAACAAGTGACCCCTGCTGTTGACATCATTAACAAGGGTCCACATGAGCACACACACAGCACAGCGCAGCACAGGGGTGTATTAGAGGAGTGGGTCCATCCTTGACATATCTACCTCCAACCCCTTTTATCTGTTTCCCTTTTCCTCCCTCTCTTATTATTCATTTTGAATATTAAACCATGATCCTGGTCTCCTCTGTCCTTGAGTTGGCTTCCTACACAAGAGACCTCACACTCCTCCCTTAAAATCATCCCTTATTTTTTTTGCTCCTTTCTTTACCTCTCCTAGCTTTTGTTTTTCTCTTTACCACTTTCCCCCTTTCTTTTTATTATGTATAATTAACAATAGTGTGAAGAATCCTCCGTTCAGGAATTAAAAAGAAATAATTCCACTTTTTAATCCCCCCTCCCTTCTCAAATATATGCTAATGATGTCGTTTTCCTTTATCTTTTTATAATAAAGGATTAGGCCAGGACTGTCTCTAGCTGCAACTCGGGGACCAATTTAGCTGGGATCCAGGAGAGACAAACCCTGGTGGTTAATTACCATTCATTAACATAGTTTGCATCTTTTCTTCTTCTCCAATACCCAGGAGCCAGCTATTGTCAATATTTGTCCCATATAAATTTCTGCAGTTTTTTTTTTCCGAGTCACTGTCCTCCAGCGTATTGCAGCTAATGACAAACATTAATAACTCAGAGAAATCCGGTGGCGCAGTGGGTATAAAAGAGCACAGCATCGATGCCACGCAAATTATCTCGGAGCCCCCACCCCTTGCTGTCTGACTGTCTGTATTTCTCTCTCTTCCTTTTAGTGTGTAATGCATAGTCAACATGTTTGCTCGCCGAGACCCGCCATCCGGCTTCGGCTGACACACTCGTGCTATTTCTGTGACATATTCAAATGCGGGCCCCCTCAGCTGGTACTCCCTTGGGTTTAATTAACCTGGCCTTGCCTCTGACGCTCCCTCAGTGAAGACGTTAAAACGATCTTGAAAACACCCTTCACACAGCCACCCCCCCCCAAACACACACACACCCATGTCTTCCACTAGGTGCTGTATGATTCATCTCCTTTTTTTCCTGTGTAGGAATGGCATGCCATACCCCTCTTTTCTTCTCTTTCACTCTCTCCTTGTCTTCCACCCTTCTTTCCTTGTACAGCTCTCATTAAGAGAGGTTTCCTGTGGGAATTACTTTGATCAGCAGTTCCAAATGCAAAGTTTTTCTCCCTTCCCCTTTTATTCATTCCAACACAATCAACTCAGTGTCATTTTGTTCAGTGTCTTTATTATGTCTCACTCTCTCTCTCTCTCTCTCTCTCTCTTTCTTTCTCTCTCTCTCTCTAACATCTTTTTAAATCCAACTTTCCTGTATTTTTTTTTTTCTTTCTACAGATTCCTGCAGGAGATTGTTCCTGGAGGGGTAGAGGAGGTCAGGGTCACTGGTTGACTTTGGGGTCGATCGATGATTTGTATTTGTGTGTGTGTTTGTGTTTTGTGTGTCCCAAGGCTTTTCTGTTGCACTTTTAAGTTCCCTCAGTCTGGTGTGAGTGCGTGCCACTTGGGTGGGAAGACGAGTAGCCCACAGTACAAAGAACATTCAAAGCACAAACCGAGAATTTCTGCAGCCGCCAACTGATGCACAATTAGTCCTTGCAGATCTTGTCAGCCAGCTGTGGAAGGAATAGAAAACAGCCTCTGGTGATTTCCCTTACTTCACTGACACAGTTTCACACCCTGGCTATTGCTGCCAATACACCAGTATGCTTTGATTTTTCAGGCACAGACACTTGGCACTGTCTTAAATAACAAGGTGCTTGTGACATACAGCCAAATGTGTTTTTGACAAATGTATAATGCAACATGTTTACAGTTTTCATTGTGTATTCATGTTTGATCCACAGAGAGCTGGTTTAGTAACAAAAGGTAGCTGCTGTTTACAGTGTGACACAAATCTCACCACGCTTCAATTTAAGTCAAGAGCCTAATGATAATTATTGTTAAAACTTTTAGGTCTCAGACATTTCTACTCAATACATCCATGTATAATGTTCTTTTTCATTAGATCAGATGCCACCTTAAAAAGAAAAAAGGAATCTCACTCTCCTGATGCACATATGCTATGTATACAACCTCATTGATCTTCACTTGAACAAGTCCCTTATCCTCCTCTACAGCGCTCCAGACATGAAACGGCAGCAGATTATGGGTGGATGCGGCCCGCCGTGGGAAGCTAGGGAGCAGATAAAAAGGCCAGCCACTCCGGGGACTAAAGCTATGTTTTGATGCTGTGTGATAAAGCAGAGGCATAGGGCAAGAGGAAGGGGAAAGTTACAGGATCTATATATATATATATATATATATATATCCTCTGGCTCCCCTTTTTGAATTTTTCTCCTTCTCACCTCTTTGTCTTGCCCATCGTGACCACGCTCTTCCTGCACTTTTTGTTGTTCTTTGACGCTCACACTTTCACTTTCTCCGTCCCCATGGACTGTCCTAAGCCTTGCTCATGGCAGCTGTCTCTCTAAAGCCATGGCCTGAGCTCCTGGGGAGAAAAAGAAGAGAGAGGGAGAAGGCGAGAGGGGCTGATCTGGCCTCTAATCCACCTCTTCTTAGAGCGTAGGAGGGAAGCTGCAGTCCTCGACATCACCTCAGAGAGAAGCGACTCTTTGAATGTGACTACCTGAACCCTCTCGTGTCCTGATGACTAATCTGGGATGTTGTCTCAAATGGTGTAGAAAATGTGGCTCTTAATATCACAGATCAGTCAAACTGTCATACTTGGGTGCACTGTAATGTGCCAAGCTTTAAGCAGGGTTTTTTTTTTCTTTTTTTTTTGTTCTGAGTTCATCAATTGGCACATTCACACTACCCATAGTACCATTTAGCTATGTGCAATCAGAATCAAAACAAACAGCTGAAACAGTCTTCATTGGTCATGGCTATTATAAAAATGCAGCCATCCTTTGTTTTCTGCTCCAGCATATATAATAACACCTTAGTCTGGGGTGTATAGCTCCTCAAAGCACCTCTCCACCTTGACTAACTTTTCCAAGCACTCATTAGCGGACTGGCTGAAGTTTGGAGGGTATGAAGCGGGCTGGCAGATTACCCCCTGTAAAGTAGCACACCTCAGGTAATCACACTAATGAATTCAAGCACCACCACCACCCCCTCCACATACACACACACTCACCCACCCCTCATGCCTTTCTCCTTTTCCCTTTACTTACTTTCTCCCTTTCTTCCACAGTGGCGGGTCGGTGCAAGAAGTGCCAAACAACAAAGAAGTGTTTGTTTGCATAATATTAGCGCTGCACGCTCGCACACAGTGGCGGGGGCCTGACTGCAGGACTGACTGGAGGCTTCCCATGAACACAGGTGGAGCAGGGCGAGCATCACTGGGACCAATTAGAGCAGAGCACAGGTACATTAGCATGTTTGAGTGGAGTGGGATGGCGTGGGGATTGGTAGGCCTTACGAAACACACACAAACACATGACCATGGTCTGGTGAGTGTTAGTTGTTTGTCTCCAGTGACATGACTGGCATATGTGTGACAAATGACCCCTGGTCTGCTGTCACAGCACATCCTGTATTTTCCATCTGCACCGCTACACACACACATTTTACTCGCATGTAAAATTGCAGCAAGTAGTTCAGGGTTTTATTTATGATGAAAAATAAACATGACCATTTGCTAATGTTTTAAAAATTGATATCAAAAAGTAAAGTCAGTTTCTTGTGGGCTTTTGCCTCAAAGGTGAATAGAAATAAGCAGGGAAATGTGATTCACATGTGTTTTACAGATACAGGTAATGAATGCAACTTACTGTGAAAGTTAAGCAGGTGCTCCTTGGCAAAACTACCATTGTAAAAGTAATGTAAAAAATTAAACACAGCAATTAAGATAATTAAGGATTCCAAGGCGATCCCAAGCCCAGTGTTTTGTGTCTGCCCCTATCCTCCTAACCTCCACTGGGAGGCGTCCTGATCAGTCACCCAAACCACCTGAACTATAATATATAACTATATATAAGGTGCTGCAAATGTATGAGCTTCAGGCTTGACCCATTATGGTGAGTCCAAGTGTAGAATTTTTGTTTGGCAACAAAGAGACTGAGCTGTAAGATGACTGAGGAAGTGAAGGCAAGGCCTTGCTGTTATAA